GTGAACTCGCAGGCATTGAAGTTCAAAGACCTGATGACTGTGTAGGCACTATGCAGCTTGGGCTGATTACAAGTTTAATTTGGAGAATAATTGGACCTATGATAACACTAAAGGGTAGATATGATAAATGGGTTAGTTCGAAGTGACAGTGTAATCGGCTGGAGGACTCAACTAACCAGGGCCGGGGCCAGAAATTTGGTTGAAGGGGTCGAAGAAGTATGGACGGTTTCAGAGTTTTTTTTTTCAATAAAAACGAATAAAAACTATTAAAAATGTGACTGTGTTGAAGTTATAGGGGAAAGAGTCGAAAAATTGTAAAACTATGTTAATGCCAAAGTATTTGAACCCTTTACCTTAACTATTGCTAAATAATGTGCTCTGCCAACTAATTTAACTCATTTCTTGTTAATATTTAATAATTTTTTTTATACTAATACTAAAACATGTACTATATATACATATATACATACAAATATTATATATGGGATGTGGGTGGGGTGACGGGGGCAGCTGCCCCGTCCCCCTTTGGCTTCGAACATGGAGTGGTTGGTTAGGGTGTTTGGCTAACTAATTTTGAGTGTATAATGATCAATCACGGTATGAATAGTAATGAATAATTAGACGAATAATTGATCAAGTCAAAATTAACTGTATAATCATACTATAAAACGATGAAACATGCATGCAGATTACGACTCCGGTCTTAACTACATAAACCACATGAATGTAAAGAAGAAATGTCGTAAACCAAACAAGTTAATCTCTATTCAATCTAAAGTATGACGTATGTCCTAAGGATACTCCACATTCATACCCAATTCGGGAAAAAAAAAACCATTGATTCTCTAATCTCTATACAATTGTTATGCCATGGACCTGGTCCACCTTGCAAGGTGGATTCAGGTTCAAAACGACGCAACTTTACGCATATGGAATAATAGTGTCGTTAGTGGCACTGTTACTTCAGTCAATGATATATTTTTTTTGTCAATATAGAGTTTAAAAATTGTGAATATAGAATTTAAAATTTGTGAATATAGATTCAAAAATTGTGTTATATTGTTGAATATAGAGTTCTGTAATTGTGAATATAGAGTTCAAAAATTGTGAATATAGAGTTGAAAAATTGTTAATATAGAGTTCTGCAATTGTGAATATTGAGTTATGTAATTTTGTATATTGAGATCTAAAATTGTGAATATTTAGTTCTAAAATTGTGAATATAGAGTTCTAAAATTGTGAATATAAAGAAACGAATTCTAAAGACAAACGGCAAGGAAGGAAGCAATATATATATTTTTTAAATTCAGACGGCGTCGTTTTGGAGTAAAACAACGCCGTTTTGAATCCGGGTCCACAACATAATTTGCCACTCAGTAGGCAAATTATACTATGGACCGCAGTCCACAATGCATTGTAGTCCAGGCATCAAATATGCACTGCAATTTTATTTTAACACAACTACAGTATTATTTTGATATAACTACAGTTTCGTTGGACAATATACACACAAATATATGAAATTGTTATTCAGTTTCATTTTGTATACGCTGCAGTTTCTTTTCAATTCAATTACAGTTTCATTTGATAATATAATAAAAATAATACGTAAAACTGTGTCATTTTAGATACACTGTAGTCTCTGTCGTTTTGGGCCCACTCCATAGTATAATTACTGATCTCTGTATGTCTGGGCCTGAAATGCGCACGACACGAAGAAAGATGGGCCAGAATATGGAACACCGACCCAAATACCCAATCACTGATCTCTCCAACCTCGTCAACGTGTCTACGAGAAAGCCTCAATCTTGAACAACTACTAGATTACACTTCCAAGATTGTCTTTTTCCGGGTGTCTGGCGGCTGTACAACCGGAACTAATGTATCTCCTAATGCCATGTTTTCGACTACACGACGACCACAAATCTAACCATAAAAGCAAAAAGAAAAGTAAAAATCAATATCGAAGGATTCATATATATGTGGTTCATTTTCATCCACTAGAATGCTTGGCTTTCATTGAATTGTACAGTAGTTCCCTTCTTCCCCAGCTCTTGTTCCTTTGAAGAACGTTCAAATTGGGTAGCTACCGTCGTCCCCGAGTTGGAACTTGCAGTTTTCATCGCCAAAGGCTTGAGCTTTGCCGCTCTTCTGTGATGGGTTCCCAGAGATTTTGAAACCCAATAAAGATTCCGGTGTGGGTTCTTGATATTCCGGCGGGAGACAAAGCCTGGTGTGAGCTTTTAAGGAACACTCCTCCGAGGATGATGTCTGCTGCCTACCATAATCTTGAGTTTGGGAGGACGAGGTTGAACTCTGCGGCTTGCGGCTGTTCCTCGTACTCCTCCATTGACAGGCACTCTGCGAACAAATTTCTGCTCAGAAACGTTAAGAAAGGAGGAGGGTTCAGAGCTCGGAGACTGCTGTGTTGCCGGCGTGAAATTGGGCGGTGTCATGTGTTCTCCACTAAGGCTCCTGAGAGTTTCCTCAATGGTAATTTCTCAATTTTAGTTGTGTAATATGTAATTCTTGAAGAATTTGTAGCTGTATGAACATCCTGGGTTTAACTTTGTTGCTGTCCTGTCTGTCATAGGAGTCACACCTGCTTCATCATCTCCAATGTTGGATTTGAAGAAAGACAGTGGAAGCCCTATTTCAGTGGCAAGTTTGTTTGAAGTGGTGACTGATGATCTCCTCACACTGAACAAGAATTTACAATCTGTGAGTATTGTCTGAAACATGATTCATGTTTTTTCACCTTATGTAATTTAGCTCCTTGTATTTTGTTATCCCTGATTTGGGGGGTGTATATGGGGTGTTTGGTAAATAGCTGTTAGCTGATTAGATTATGAATTTGACTAATTGATAACATTAGATGATTGTAGAAAAGTGTTTTGTAAATTAGCTGTTAGCTGATAGGTGTGCTGCTTTGAGCAGCTTTTTGAATTTTAGTATTTTGAAAAGCTAATTAATGAAACACTCATATTGATTGTTTAACCAAGTCAAACAGCTATCAGTGATCAATTAAACCAAAATTAGCCGATAAGCTAACTATGTTACCAAGCAGGTCCAATATCTTTGGGAGAAAGAACACAAATGGAGAAAGGAAATGCAGAGATAATATGCATATGACCTCACAATCTTACATTAGAACACAATAAGGATTGCATACATATGCTTCCTCAGAAAGTTAGTCCTAGAATGATGCAGACATGTTGCACACAATTCTTGTCGATGTTTTTATGCTTAGAAGCGACTTGTTTAGTTGTTTTGGTGATGAACGAGAAGAAGTTTTGTTTTGACATCAGTGCTTAAGAATGTGGCGGCAATAAGTTATAATACAAGTGATAGTAGTTGGCTAGTTGCTACCACGTCGAGTGATGCTTATTTAGCATTTTGAAGCGCGTTTTGCACACGATTCTTGTTATGTTTTTATGCTTAGAAGCAACTCGTTTAGTTGTTTTAGCTATGAACAAGAAGAATATGGAATTAGAACAAGTTTTGCTTTGGTATTAGTACTTCACACTACATTTAGTGTTACATTTATATGTGTGTCTAACGGATATTGTCTCTTAGATTGTTGGTGCGGAGAACCCTGTTTTAATGTCTGCCGCTGAGCAGATATTTAGCGCCGGTGGCAAGAGGATGAGGCCCGCTTTAGTTTTCCTTGTTTCCCGAGCAACAGCAGAAACTGCTGGTCTAACGTAAGAGCACAATACGGTGTTTTTGTTATATGGACCGACAACCTCAAAATTTGTAAAATGTTTTTTTCTCGTCCACCAGGGAACTCACCAAGGAACACAGGCGGCTGGCTGAAATCATCGAAATGATCCACACTGCGAGCCTGATACACGATGACGTGTTGGATGAAAGCGACATGCGAAGAGGAAAGGAAACCGTTCATCAGATATATGGCACGAGGGTAGCGGTGCTTGCTGGGGATTTTATGTTTGCGCAATCTTCATGGTACCTAGCTAACCTCGAAAACATTGAAGTCATAAAGCTCATAAGTCAGGTATATTAGGATTCCTGTTCTTAGTATAACTTATGGTACTAGATTGAACTCGGTAATTTACTGTTTTTCTCGAGACGCCATTATAGGTCATAAAAGACTTTGCTAGTGGCGAAATAAAGCAGGCGTCGAGTTTATTCGACTGTGATGTCGGGATGGAGGATTACTTAATCAAGAGCTACTACAAAACGGCCTCGTTGATCGCTGCAAGCACCAAGGGGGCCGCCATTTTCAGCGGGGTCGACAGCGGGATCAGTGAGCAGATGTATCAATACGGGAGGAACCTCGGTCTATCGTTCCAGATCGTGGACGACATTCTCGACTTCACTCAATCGGCCGAGCAGCTTGGGAAGCCAGCCGGGAGCGACCTGGCGAAGGGCAACCTGACAGCGCCGGTGATATTCGCGCTGGAAACCGAGCCGAAACTGAGGGACATAATCGAATCCGAATTCTGCGAGGCGGGCGCTCTCGAGGAAGCCATTGGCATCGTGAAGAGGTGCGGGGGCATCGCGAGAGCCGAGGAGCTGGCGAAAGAGAAAGCTGATATCGCAATTCAGAACCTCGAGTGCTTGCCCCCCAGCCCTTTCCGGGTCGCTCTCGAGGAAATGGTGCAGTATAATCTTGAAAGAGTTAAGTAGAATTGAAGAAGAAGAAGAAGAAGAACACAGAATCTGGATCAAAGCACAGCTCTCTCAGCTACACTGTTCTTGTAAAACATTCAGTTTTACCCTTGCATATAGTAGTGCCATTGATTTTCAGTGTTTGTATACTCATAAAAGCCCAGAAGCAATGACTTTTGGTCCCTGTATACTTTAACAAATACATCAATTTTTTTTTTTCTTTTTATAATCTTCATTGCTGTACATTGACTATGTTATATGCACTTAAAAGAACAAATAATTGAAGCATGTGTTCCATCTCAACTAAAAGCTTACCTAAGCTGATAGTTGGATTGCACATCAATGGATATATGCTCAACACAAATCTCTCTTCATAACATACAATTGAAAACATACATACACATACAATACAATTATATTAACAATATAAATATAACATATTACAAGATTGAAGCTGTGTGCCCAAGCACAAATTATTCATCACTTAAGATATATAAGACATACATTCATATATTGATGGCCCGTGTTTTACGGAAACATGCAATTAAGAGTCTTAGATTCCAAACAAACTCATGATCAATGGAATGAGATGAGGAAGGAGACGGTATAGACCATAAATAAGTGCAGCTGTAGCAGCAACAGCCTGCAAATTTAATGGAATTATTATTACTAATCAGGAGATCAGAAGATCTATCAGACATGCATGAATGAATTGAAGCAAACTGATAGAAATCTGGGAACCCAAGATGAGATGAGATGAAATGGAATTAAGCTAAGAATTGATTGATTTGCTTACAGCAATTGTGCAGGCGATGTATCCTGGTTTCTCACGACGACCAACTCTGCCACAGATCAGAATGAAGGCAGCAATATACCATGGGATAGTAACAAGAAAGAAACCACTCATGAACCTTCAAAAAACACAAGAACCACATATATAGTTTCAATTGTCATGTGCTCCATCTCAAATAAAAGTCTAAGCTGATAGTTGAATTGCACATTAATGGTATTAATGGTTATATGCGGGCAACGAACCTAACCCATGACCTTTGACATGTCTCTGATACCAAATTAAAGCATAGTTGGATTGCACATTAATGGTTATATGTTCAACAGTTTCTGCCACTATATACTGGGTAAACTTTACTTTTTGATCTTAGTCAGTATAGGACCACAAGGAAATAAACCAGCCTAAATTGCTCAAAGTTAATCAGTTCAAACTAAGAAAGTCAGTTCAATATGCTTCTCCTGCAGGGAATCGAACTCGTAACCTTGTAGTTAATACCCCCAATTTAACTGGGGTACGGTTGTCCCCAAGTTTTTCACAATACATGTATAGTTAAACCAGCCTAGATTACTCTTAGCTTACCGAGTTAAACTAAGAACCAAATGTTTACAAAGTCAATAGTTTAACCAATTTGAGTAGTGTTTCAGTATTTTTGCTGGATGGACGGAGATTAAATGAACGTCAAGTTCAGCATTCTTGATTCAATGTAAATTCAAGCTACGATAACATAAATATAAAGAAATAAAATTATACATAGCTTATTGAAAACTTACATGCACCAGCCAGTGCCACAACCGCAGCAAGGTAGAGGCCTATCATCTGCCATAACATCAAATCACTAATTAATATTAGCTGGTAAACAGATTGAATTGCATGCATTTCAAGAAATTAATTAAACTTGATTTAATTTGCGTATATGCATTTCAAGAGCTTGAAGATTCCGGCCACCTGGAGCGCCCCCAAGTAGCGGTTGCCTTTCCCGGTCTCCATCGTCATGAGCGTGGCGGCGGTGACGGCTTTCCTTGTTACCCATTCAAATAGCAGACTTTAATTTAATTTGCAGAAATTGATAGTTAATTAATTGGCTTAGTGTTTTCACTTACTTATTGTCACTCATCCAAGCATGCATAGATCTATATAGGATTTGTAGATGCTGATGAGTTGACCAGTATAAGACTTCTAGTCAACTTTTGGTCTATGGGTCGTCTTTCCTCATCTTTGATAGACTCATAGACTAATAGGACATGGACAAGTGGAAAGCATTTTAGAGACAAGAATTACTTTCTAAAGAAATTATTAAAATATATTAAAGCGTGTTAAAATGATCCATTTATTTAAGACTAATGTCATTTAATTTCATTCTTCCCAAAAAGATTGAATCCCCAATTCTAAAGGTCCGACAGATCATCAGAGACGATAAAAATCATGGTAACTTAACTGAACCATAGAGGCTAGATCATTGCTTATTGCGCACAAGGATTCCTCTCATTTTGAGAGAGGTTACTCCCACGCTACCGCTGGTGAAATTCAATCCCTAGTCATTCTTCTCAAACTTCACTCCTATTACCAGTTGAGCTACCCAGAAAAACTAATATCGTTTCGTTCTTCCAAAAGATTGAACCTCAGCCCTAAACTAATGTCGTTTCATGGCTCATGGAGTCGTTGCTATTAATAAAGTTTAAAGATAGAAATATATTTTATTATTTAATTGTAGAAATAATTGCCCTAGCTACATCACTTTTCGATAATGGGATATTATCATTATCCTCATCATTCATCCAATACCTACAAAAAATATACAGCTCTCCTACAAAATCGAATTTGAAATTTCATAATTATCAAGCTAATTATCCAATTAATTTAGTTAGGGTTGCATACTCTAATTATACTATGAGTTAACAATACACACATATATATATACACTTGTGATCCATGAGAGCACATACCAAGAAATACTATATATGAACTAATCCCGACTTTAATTTACATTTCTAAAAATCGGATGGATAAGATCAAATGTTTCGTAAAACCCGGCCCATCTTTTAATTTGTATACTTGAAGCGATAAGATAGCATGCATAATGCAACATAATTGGTTGAATTCCATTAGGTACATTTATGAAAAGGCCGATGCTTTCACAAATTATTGAATAACAACATATTACTATTCTTTATAAATTTCTTCTTAATGGACTACAACTCATACTTTTTGTCAACATCTTACCTGGACTTGTCGCATGTAATTATATGTTTTCTCTTTCCTTTCCAATTATTAAAAATTTTAGAGTAACACTTGTGTGAGACCATTTCACAAATCATTGTTCGTAAGATGGATCGAATCAATTATAATACTTATACTAACAAATATAATACTAATTATGAATAAAGTGTTTGTTACTTATGAGGGAAGACACAATACTGTACTTTTGAGAATAAATGTAATACTTTTAAATCAAAATGTAAAAATATTACATTTTTTTTTATATAAGTAATAAACATTTTATTCATTATTTAGTATTAAATTTGCTACTATAAGTATTACATTTTATATTGACCGACTTGTCTTGCGGATTCAATTCACATAAGTGTTTGCCAAAAATTAAATAAAAATAATGTAGTTGTTAATTGTTATGCCCCACCATGATATGATTGGAACTAGTTTCACGTGAAAGGCATGCTCTCTCAATTAAATTTGCACCCTTGATCTGATCTAGTCGTATTTGAGAAGAACGATCTCCAATTTTTATTTTTATTTTTCAATTTCTTTCAAATGTATACTTATAATATAAATAGAATAAATTTTGTTGGGATAAAAGGGAAATATAATAATGTTACCGTGCATGAATGCATGATGTCATGTTGCTGTCTTCAGCAAGAAATGTGATGCTGACGTGGCCTTTGCGACGTGTATTGTCCTGCCGAGTTGAAATGGTTGACAATATACGAAATTCTTTTCAAAAAGTTGAATCCTCAATCTCAAAATAATGCCGAGTTGATGACTCACCACTTCATGAACTAAAATTGAACATTGAGAGTTAGGCCTGAGCATCGGTCGGGTTCGGAGGGATCGGATGGCCAATCCGTCCATCCGATCGGATTTCGGATTGGGGAAAACTACCCCAATCCGTTCGAATTAAAGGGAAATCCTCTCGGATTTCACCTGTTCGGATACGGTCGGGTTGGGGTTCGGATTTCGATTTGTAGTCGGATTATAAAACATACCAAAATAAAAAAAAAAACTTTAAAAATGTTGAAACTTAATAAGTAATATTGTAATAACCCTAAACTAAATTACCAAAGTTATGTAGGCATTTACATACATAATTACATAATTACATATTGCAGTTCAAAAAGCAAAAATGAAGTTCACAAAATGAGAAAATCAACAACACTAAACTACTAAGTACTAAATACTAATTACTAAAGTACTCAGCAGTCAGCATTCAGCATTTCAGCATTCACCAATCAGCCTTTAGCAATCAGCATTCATCCATTCTCATCTTCCTGCTCAATTATAAAACCATTAAACGATTTAAACTTTAAAGCCAATAAAGACAGAGAAGTAGAGAACTAATAATAATTAATAAGATAGGCTCAGATTGCTTTTTTTCATATCATTTTAGAGTTGGGGGGAAATTGCTTCATGAGTTTTGTCTCAGAGCAACATACCAAACACCCAAAGTCCTTTTAATTCAGACAAATGGTGGAAGCATCATCATAGCCATAATAACTAAACAGAAAGAAGAATATGAGAGGAAGGGAAGTGATATACCAGAATTCCAGAGATGTAACTGAGTAAGGGGCTAAGGCCTAAGGGCAGCAACATTTATAAAAAAGTTACCAAGCCACTTAGCAATTAGCAGTTCTGGAATCTTACCTGAGTTGCCTCAAAGAGTCCACACATTTATTAATTAAACTAAACAGAAAGTCAGAAAGCAATGTTATATAAAAGTATTACAGCAATTGTTGGGAGTGTTCCAACAGCACTTGGTAAAGAACCAGCAGCTCCAGTGGACAATTCTGCACAAAAAAGGATAAACAAAAAATAGTTTAGAATAAAGGTAACAATTAACAATTTCTAAAGTTGAAACCTTAAAAGTTAGAAAAGGTACCCTTCTCTAGTCTTTCAACATCATCCAAGTTTTCCTCAACAGAGATTGGATGATTGGGTGCCCTCAACCAATCTTGTGCACATACTAGGGCTTCAACAATTTTAGGAGTTAAGGAACTCCTAAAGGGATCTAATACCCTACCACTAGTACTGAATGCACTCTCAGAGGCAACAGTTGAAATGAGAACATCCAGCACATCCCTTGCCATTCTAGAGAGTATAGGAAATCTATCACTGTTAACCTTCCACCATCTTAGGACATCAAAGTCCACATTTTTTTCATCTTCCACTAATTTTTCACTTAGATAAATCTGGAGTTCAGTTTCTTTACTGCTTCCACTAGTCTCCATTCTCTGTTTTTTAAGCTGGCTTTTCATTCTAGCCTGAGGTTTTCCAACTGAAGTTTGAGAATGGACAGGTTCAGATTGGGTAGGTTGCACAGTAGGGGATGCAGACTGCACATGGTAGGTGGCTGTATAATCATTAAACAGCAGAACCATAGAAGATTGAACCTTTTCAAAGCATGATTTTCCTTTTTCATCACCATACAACTGGGCAAATTGGGCAGGCATGTACTCAATCTTATCCCTAGGATCCAAAATATTGACATAGAATATCAAGAAGTTCATTTTTTCAGGATCTCCCCAATATTTTTCAAATTTTTGTTTCATAGGGACCCCATTTCCTATAAAACAGACATAACACAGAAAAAATTAACAGATGCATACAAACACATTCAGTAAAATGTTAACAGTTTAGTGTTTACCTTTTCAGAGGTTGAAACAGAGTTAACCATGTCATCCAGCATGCAACCTAAGTCAGAAATCTCAGAAAAGAAAGTATTTGAAGTGATATAGAGAGAACCAGATATTCTCACAGTCATCTCATAGAAGCCTTTCAGGAAATGGACTAAGCTTTGCACAGAAAGCCAATCCATAAAATTTGGAATAGAATCAGATAAGTCAGCATTCAATGAGGCATCATTCTCATAAGCTTCAAAGGCCCTCTGGTATTGAAGGACAGTGTTAAGCATCATGTATGTGCTGTTCCATCTTGTTGGAACATCAAGTTGTAATGCACATTTGGCTTCCACCCCATTAAGCACAACAATCTCTCTAAACTTCTTAAGTCTGGCAGGAGAACTCCTCACCCATCTCACAACATCTCTAACTTTCTTAACAGAAGGACCTGCATATCTCAACCCATCCTGGACCACTAAGTTCAACACATGGGCTATGCACCTCATGTGCATATATTGAACCCTAACAGAAGACCCACCCCAAGACAGAAGTTTGTTCTTGAAAAACCCCAAAGCTGTGTCATTTGAAGAGGCATTATCAACAGTAACAGTGAAGACATTTTAATCCCCCAATCAAGAAGACAACTCTCAAGGGCTTTGGCTATGTACTCTCCCTTATGAGAAGAAATTGGGACAAAGGAAATGATCTTTTTGTTTAGCTTCCACTGATCATCAATGAAATGTGCAGTAATGCACATGTAATTGATCCTTTGGACAGAGGTCCATGTATCAGTGGTCAAGCTGACCCTTTGGGTGCTCACCTTAAACAACTTTTTTAGGGTTATTCTCTCATCTAGGTAAATCTGATAAATGTCTCTAGAAATGGTCCACCTAGAAGGGATTTGAAACCTAGGACAAGCAACTAAAATGAATTTCCTAAAGCCATTTCCCTCAACAATCCTAAAGGGAAGTTCATCAACAATGATCATCTCACACAATGCCCTCCTAATAGCCTCTTGGTTGAAAACCCAAGTCCCCAAAACTCCCTCAGAAGCTTCTGTTCCAGAGGCATTAAAGGTGAGAAGAGACTGCCTTGTGTCCTTACAATGAGGATTTTTTAGGCAGGCCTTCATATGGTTTTTCAAAGAGGAAGTGCCATGCTTTTTACTTTCACATTTATAAATTTTGGCACAATAAAGGCATTTGCCCTCAACTACTGGTCCCTCAGTTTCACATTCAGTAGGTGGAGCACGGATCTTTTCAAAATGATCCCATACTATAGATCTAGACTCCACCTCTTTCCTCTTCTTTGTAGGAACAATAGGAGGAGAAGGCATATGATTTGTTTGAGGATTTCTCTCAGTACCTTGAGCTTCTACTCCATGCTCCTCATCAGTTGAGGTTGGAGGGTGTCCAGTTGCACTGATGCTTTCCATCTATAAAGATGGGCATCAGTATCCACATTTTAGGGAGATTACAAATCATACAATCATATTAAAGCTTCCACCATACAATCATACATAGAAGTATTACATATTACACTTCCACATATTGAACAAAATCAGATATTCAGATAGTCACAGAGAACTGAGAGAACTGAGACCACATAAATTACATAATAAACAATTAAACATACAAAGATATCCAGAATCAGACACATGGACATAGTAGTTTGTGTCATCATTTTTCCAGATTTAACAATTACCAATTAAGGGTCATACATCCATAAACTGATAGACATAATAACATATACAATTATACAAACAAATCCAGATTCAGGAACTCAGTCCAGATCATCATTATTTGGATTTGAGTTAAGGGCTTCCACCAATAAATGGAAATTCCCACACTGGAGATTTCACATTTTAGCATGGTTGCAGTAGGCGCTAGGCGCTAGTCGGGCGGCCGGGCAGCGCCTAGCGCCTAGGCGGTCTAGGCGGATTCTAGGCGGCGCTAGGCGGGCACCAAAAAAATTAAAAAAAATAGTAACAGACTTGTAGTTCGACAATTTTAATGAGGTTGTTTTCAACGTTCACTCAAATAACACATCTAAATAAATGAAATAATGATAATTTATAAGTCATAATGTCATAATAATATTAAAATCAATAATTAATGAAAGACGACATCGGTCAAAATCGAACAAAATCGATCAAAATCGATCAAAAACGGTCAAAATCGGTCGACTCGGCCGAGTTGGCCGAGTTTGGCCGCCCAGGCCGCCTAGCGGCCACCCAGGCCGCCTAGGCGGCCGGCCGAGTTTTGGCCAAAACTCCAAGGCTCGGGGCCGCCTAGCGCCTAGGCGGCTAGGCGGCCGAGTTTTGCAACCTTGCATTTTAGCCTTTAACTCGGATTGTTAGATTACAAATTTGCATGGCATAAAATCTAGATTTCACAAAATCAACACTTAGAAATCAGTTTGTAAAAGGCTTCCACCAACAAATAGCATAATATATGAATATATCACCAAATATTCATCACAGACTCATTGTAAATGAAGATATATAAATTATAAAACTAGGGTTTACGATTTACTTGATTTCTCCCAAATAATCCCGGGAGAACAAGGGCTTCTAATCACCAGTTCACCAGTAATCACCACGGCTTCCACCACTTAGACTCTCAGAGACAGAGAGTAAGAGATTAGAGATTAGAGATTGCAACGCTTCGATTCAGAGAACCCTGAGATTAGACAATAGAGATTAAGAGATTAGAGATTTAGAGATTACAGATTACAGAGTAAGACTGTAAGAGATTAGAGCTTAGAGAAATAGAGATTAAGAGATTAGAGATTTACCTTACGGATTTACAGAATCAGAGATGACTGATGCGTGCTGAGTCTTGAGTTCTTGACTCTTGAGAGAACTGAGACTCTGAGAGACTGAGAGTCTGAGAGAGTGAGACTCTGAGAGAGTTGAGAGTCTAAGAGAGTGACTGAGTGAGAGTCTGAGACTCTGAGAGAGTGAGAGACTGAGAGAGTGAGAGAGACAGAGAGTTGAGAGTCGAGAGAATGAGAGATGCGATCTCAGATCTCAAACCCTAGGTCAGCTGCGCGGATGAGAAAATGAAGACCAAGTGGTGGAAGGCATGTATATATACATTGATGGAACGACGCCGTATTATACAAGGCCTTAGGGAACCCTAGGATAGTTCGGGTGGTCGGACAGGTCGGTTGGCAAAAATGTACACCCCATCCGAACCTTCTAAACCGACGTCGTATTGAATGGCGGATCGGGTAAGGAGAGTCGGGTGCGGGTATCCACTCCGATAGCCAAGCAGTGGGGCGGGTCGGACGGATTGTTCGGGTTGGACGGGTTTTGCACAGCCCTATTGAGAGTGGTAACCCATGTACATATGGTGGAGCGGAATGAGTTTTGTAAAAATCCACCCATGACCTCGACGGATTGAGATTTACTTCATAACATGAAAATGATACAAGCCGGCCACCTTATAAATTCACTACATGATGACATGTAAATATGTAACATTATCAGTAGGGATGTTAATTGGACTAGTTCATTTGGTTTCGATTTCGGGATGTAGACTTATTAGTTCGGGCTAATAATTTTTTTTTTTTTTTTTTGGGTCAGGTTTAAAATTCTTGGCCCTAATCCTAAAGTCTCGAGGTGCCGAGCTTATTGGTCAAGCTCAACTAAAATTTTTAAAATTTTCAAATTAACATTTGAAACGTTCAATTTTAATAAACTATAACATTTAGACTAATAAATATAAACTTATACATCTTTCATTAATCACTGTAAACCCACATTTCTAAATTTCAACTAAAAATAATTAATATACTTACACTATAATAATTTGTAGTAAGTTTTTAACTTTTCATTATTTATTTAAAAAAAAATATTTTGTAATATATTTATTAAAATTTTATTTTTAAAAAAAATATTAAATATGGGCTTAATTATAAACTCCATGTATACATCAACCTCGAGTTTTTCCAACACAAAAGCATATAAGACCATATATACTCCAATAATTAACAATAATATGAGATCCAACAATAACTAAACATTAAATTAATCGAATTTAATGTAGTAACATGCATATGAAACACTACATTATATATTGTGAAGATGGTATATTAATAAATAAACCATTGTTTCAAAATAAATAAATAAAGCATATTATTGCACTGTTAAGGTGAGTAGATTCTCATAAGCAGTTGACTTGCATATAATTTACAACAAGCATTCCACTCGCACCGAAAATTTTTATTACTATATGACAATTTATGGGGTATAAATGTGATGACATGAGTCATTTCCTTCTTAATCATGGATATTAGATTCGAGCTCTAGAAATGTATATGAGTTTAATTCATTGGTTTAATAGGCAGTATTTGAGAAATGAGACCAAGGTTTAAATCTCGGCAGCGACAGCGTTGGTATTATGTTCAAAATGGGCAAAATTCGTTGTACGTACCGACATTTGGTCATGTCTGTTGAGCCATTAAGTCATCACTTAATTAATTTACATCTCCAAATTTAATACAGTTTGCTTTGGAATTGCTGCTATTTTTGGTCCACCGACTAATATTCACTTATCACATTTGGCCCAACTGTTAATTTGCCCCATTTTATACATAAGTATGCTTTTGTTTTCACATTTGATATCAGTCGAACAATTACTTGTCAGAAATGTTTCAAGTTCAGTTCTTTATGAGAGCTATTTATTGGCTAGTGCTGATCAATTATGAACAATCTGAATTGGTTTACCTCCTTTTAGACTTTTACTGGATAGCACCACAAGATAGTCTCCACCCACACTCAAGGTAGTGTTGCTGACTTTTTATAAATCAAAGAAAAATATAAATTTTCTGTTGCTAGGAAGGAAAATTTTAGTGATAATATAATATTATGATTTTGATTTGAATATTGAAAACATACATACACATACAATACAATAAATATAACATATATATTACATGATTGAAGTTGTGTGCGGAAACACAAATTATTCATGACTTAAGATAAGGCGTACATTCATATATTGATGGTTCGTTTTACCAAAACAATTAAGAGTCTAGATTCCAAACAAACTCATGATCAACGGAATCAGATGAGGAAGGAGACGGCACAGAACATAAGTAAATACAACTGTAACACAAAGAGCCTGCAATAAATGCAATGAAATTATTATTTGTATTAATATTAATCAGAAAACTGGAAGGGGAAACAAGATATAAATATATATAGCTAGATCATATATATCGATGTGCTTACTGCAATTGTGCAGGCGATGTATCCTGGTCTCTCACGGCGACGAACTTCGCCGCAGATCAGAATGAACGCAGCAATGTACCATGGGATGGTAGCAAGAAAGAAACCAATAAGGAACCTTCAAGAAAACAGCATTCATCAAAAGATGGTTTTATGGCTACAAGTTCTGAAGTTCAACTTCTAGCAGAACCTGTGACCTATCAGGTGAAAAAGTCTGGCGCTTGACCACAAGGTCTTTGGCAAGTTCAATATCTTATTATGGGCCACATGAAAAAAATAACATATCAGAGCTCGCCACATCAGGGAGTAAATTTGAAAGAAGTAACATTTGGGAGTACATGTAGTAGAATCTATATTTAAAACATGGCATTGACGTAGTGATAAACGTTTGATCTATCGAGAATAGATCTACTGAGAACTTACATGAACCAGCCAGAACCGCAACCACAGCAAGGGAGACGATCCTCTCGGACCGGCTTCTCAGCAGCATCATAAGCTGAAGCTAGCTCGCAGAATGTCACAACAACATCAATAGCTAGTAATAAACAGATTACTTGCACTTCAAGAAAACTCTAATTTATTGCATGCATGCATGCACTCGCAGAGGGCCGGGCTAGCTAGGAGACTAAAAGAGCTTACTTGAAGGTGGCAAATTAAACAAACAAACCTGGAACGGCGGCCTGAAGTAGCGGTGGCGCTTCCAAGTTTCCACCGTCATGGGCGGCGTGGCGGTGGTGGCTGCTTTCCTCGTCTCTTTTACCCATCGGAATTATATTGCAGAGTTTGCAGAAATTGATAGTGGGCTTATAGTGGTGATTGATGCATGCAAAATATATAGGAATTGTGATTGCTGACGAGTTGACCAGTAGACGACTTCTAGTCAACTTTTGTCTTTTTGGGTCGTTTTTTCTCATTTCTTTTGACTAATAGAAAATGGACACATGGAAAGCATTTTAGGGAAAAGAATTACTCTTCTACAAAAAATTATTAAAATATTTTAAAGCGTGTATAATTACCCATTTATTTAAGACTATAAAGGAGTCATCGTTGCTTTTTAAAAGATAGAAATATATTTTATTATTTAATTTGCCCACATATTTAATTATCTAATTGTAATCATGAGCACTAGCTACATTTCAGCTTTTAGGTCATAGCTTTTCAACTTTTAGCTACTTTTCAATTATGTTTGTCAAATATAGCTTAAAATTAATCTAAGTATAAATTTGAAGATATTGAAATAATTAAAATTAAACAAATTACAAATACGAAGACACTGAAATCTTTAAAAATTAAGAAATTACAACTAACCGATAAATAAATGAAAAAGTTATTAGATGAGTAAATATAATGAAATTAATTTGTATGCATTGTATTTATAAATCAATGAAAATTTATGTATTCTTTTAATATATTATTTCATTAAAATTTTTATTACATATAAATAAAGAATCAAAAAATTAGAAAAAAAAACACACAAAATAAACAAAAGAAACTGTACTAAAAAAAATAAACAAAAGAAACTAACAAATAAAATAAACAAAAAAAAAAAAAGGGTATAACTAAACTATATAAAATACGATATCATATTAAAAAAAATTAAATTATATTTCCAATTTCAACTAAACTTTCATTATCAATGTTTGATCTTCAAAATGTGGCAATTTTCCTACATTATTTAAATTACACAAAATTGATGCTAATAAATTAAATTTAGTATTCTGTGCAACATGGTAGTTATAACTAGTAACTATCACCAGTTTACTAGTCATGTTGGTTCGTTAACAACAACTATGTCCTTCACCAACGCCAATTACATTATACATTTAATTTAAAAATATTGCTAATAATAATACAACACTTCAAACATCCAAAATTTGGTTCTTGTCATTAAATTTTTCAGTGAAGTTTGTCACACATGTCTTCTTAGTATGACATACCTCTTTTGTATGATTGTGAACTATTATATAGTCTAATTTTCCATCTTTTAAAGGTTCATGAGAAATACTTTACCAGATTAAAAAGAAGAACACCAAAAGGTGCTGCAGAAGAAGGCAAAGAATCTCCAAGAATGAAGGGGAGTAAAAGAGACAAGGTGAAGAACATCCTTAAACATGCAGGGTCATTTGGTTCCTGCAGTAGTGGATCAAAGCAATCAAACACTGTTGCTGTTGAGCCTCCAGATTCCAGAATCACCCACACCCAGAGATACCAAAGATGTCTTTTTGGAATCTGGTTCTTCAATCTCAGCTGTCCATACAACATCTGCTTCCTGTCATGATTATATTCTTCCTTGTCAACAGAACTTACAAGTGGGACTTAGATAGAGACCACCTTGAAGCTACCTATCTAGGATTTGTACATTTAACAATCCAAAAAGAAAAATGTTCATTTTTTATGTACCATATTTGTTTCAGATTTCTCATGAAAAGTGTTGTACTTTCTGTCTAATACGAGATTTAGACGATCAATATATATATGCGATGATCTTAAAAAAAAAAATTATGTAGTACAGTTCGGTAGCATAGTTTGTGTTGAGATAAAAGAGAATAAAAATAAAAATAATGACAGAAAGTGAAAAAGACATATTTGCGTGGTTCTGCAAAGTGCCTATATCCACGTGAATTTTGCTAAACTCCGGTCACTCCACTCCCATCCGTCCAAACACCTATATGACTATATGAGACATATATACACATTGGGAGTTGATATAAGAAGTTATATATTCAATTGGGGTTACATAACATAATCTAAGTGAAATGACAATTCTAGCCTTGCCTCAAATTAAAGATGAGGAGGCATTTGTTTCTTGCCATAGAAACCCATAATCACTAATATCCTCAAAATGAACCCTACTACAATACTCATCCACACCGTCCATCTCATGATGATCATCACAGTGGTACCAGTAGTTGATGCCATCATTTTGGGCTGCAGGGAAAGAAGGTTCCATTATTTCCATGTCCACCATCTCCATCACCCTCAAATCAAGACCGTTGAATAATTCCGGGACGACATCTTGGCCGCCGCCGTCAAGTTGGCCGGCATCGGACGGCTGACAGGTCTTAGAGTGGCCACCCTCCACGCCGATCTCAGCTTCCAAAGACTGGATCACACCCATCAATCTTTCGTCGTCGTAATCCTCCACAGCCGCCGCCTGTGTGTCGTCGAGTAATGACATGAGAAGTGCGGCGTCGACCTGGGAGAAGTCGAGGTTGCCGGAGTCATCGTAGCCGCCGTTCATGCACCAGCTCTCTCCAGCAGGCACCACAGTCGCCGCCATTGTTAGTTGGGAAGATAGAGAAGAGAGAATGCAGTTTGGGGTTTCAAGAAAATATTGGTGGGGTTTATATAAGAGGAAGAAGAACGAGTGGCATGCATAGATCAGATAGGATAATGGAAATCTGAATTATTAAAGAGAGAAAAGACAGACACTACTGCTGTCATCGTATCCCACAAAGAATAGGATTCAACTAAACAAGCCTGTGGGTCGCCGGGTCGGGCTGATGGTATGATAATTATAAATTTGAGAAAATTTCAAAATTTGGTCACATGACTATAGGGGTATTGTTAATTTCAGCATCTGATTTTTAAAAGTGTCAATTTAGTACCTTGACTATGTAATTTTTGTCAATTTTGATCACTCCGGCCGAATTGACGGTCAAATTTGGTCGAAAAAATTTAATCAAACATTTAGTCTATAATCTGAGGGGCAAAATCGTCTTTTAATCCTTTCTAGACTAAATGTTAGATTAAATTTTTCCGGCCAAATTTGACTGTCAATTTGGTCGGAGTGATCAAAATTGACAAAAATTACATAGTCAAGGTACTAAATTGATACTTTTAAAAGTCAAGTGTTGAAATTAACAATGCACCTATAGTCATGTGACCAAAATTAAAATTTTCTCTTATAAATTTTTAAGTTGATTCTCAATAAAAACAGTTTATTGACCTTCTTGATTAAATAAATTTAATTGATTTATTCTGAGTTTATCCAGTTTACACTTTCTAATAATAACGACTAGTTTTCATGATCATGTTCAAGCCACCAATATAATGATGCAATTTATTACTTATTATAAAGAAGCCCAAGTAGAAATCTGTCGTTTTCTGGCGGCAAAACCAGCCCGGGGTTCCAATGACCGACACCCTAGTTAAGGATAGGATGACTGCTCAATTATTCATCTAAATTATTTTTGCTATTTATGTCTAACTGTTTCGCACCTGCATGGGCCATGGGGTCGTCCGGCTTCATAATTAACGTTGTTGCCGGAGACAGGCGCCGGCCGCCTCCGAAAAGCGCCTGAACACCGCCACGACAGGTAGTAACACGTTGGCCCTCCGAGGTAGCACCGGCTCGTTGTAGATGATGACAGATTGGCCGGGTGCATGTTCTCTATGTTTTTTTTTTTTTCTTTTTTTGTGTGACAATAAATATTCACAATCACTATTGGAGGGTGTTTACAAGATAAGTCTGCTTTATGTGTAATAATAAATCACGTATACAAAGTAAATCGCATTAAAAAACTCTATTGGATGGACTCGACTAAGAGATCCAGAAGGGTGTATATCATTTATGTTTTTTTTGGGTGACAAAGGAAACCCACAATCACTATTTGAGAGTGTACACTCTACTGGGTAAATTACGTTTATGTATAGATCTCACAAATCAACACTGCTAGAAATTATGGAATTTCCAACCACATAAAAGTAATCTTAAATCAAGTCGAAAGTCTTGTTCCGACCACTTTTGGTATCCGAAAAAATCTTTGTTACTATTTCCGACCACTTTTTTGCTTTCGACTTGATTTAAGATCACTTTCAGGTGGTCGGAAATTTCATAATTTCCAGCAGTGCAAGCAAAAGAGGTAAAACGCACTAGGAAAACTCTGATGTCACCAAAAATCAAATAAACTCGATCGTAATTTTTTTATATGAGAATTATGTTCCACCTACTCATTATGCCTTTTGGGGCACAATAGTTGATTTGGAACTCTAGACATTGAATTCATTTTGGTTGAATTATAAGTGGTTGGTATGTTATGGATGAGCAAGAATGTGTGGGTATGGGAGTTGGGCATCTTTAGTCTTTACTCTTTACATCTTGGAACCAATAAAGGTAGGGTTTAGTGATGCCGGAACAACATATATATATGGTGGACCAAATGATTATATTAATGAATGATTATTACATGCATAATATGATGTTGAGTCTTTAGTTAATATGACCTGTAATTGCCGGAATGGGTATAGGGGATAAGATGCCTATTAATTACATATTGATAATTGATCAATGAGCACTATATGTATAGTAGTAGTGGCATTAAAAGCAATTGATTTGATAGAGCAATAATATATCCAAATATAATGGTTATGTAATAAATATGAGATTTTTTAAATAATTTTTTAAGATACGGTCATGATATGGATATATAATATAAGTTTTTAAAACTTTAAGCTTTTGATCAACTAGAATTTTTAGGTATTCGTCTTCGGTCACTTAAAAGTTGATAAAAATTTATGAGTTTTTTTTTTTTTTCATCTTTTCTGATCGTCCACTGTCTAATTGTATAAAATGTTACATACTATTGAAAAATCACCAATTTCTATGAGTTAAAAGTGGAAGAAACCCTTTTGGGGTTTCAACTTTTTCGACCAGTATTATCTAGCGGTAAACAATTCTAACCACAAATCAAATGTGGTTGGAGAATTCTTTATTATATGGTAGATCAGAAAACTTAAGTTTCTGACTATTTTTTGATTAAAAAAAAAAACTCAATTTTTTTAGCGGTGGTGGGTTAGGTTATTACTTTTGACCAATCTCATGGTGGATGTATATATATATAGGTAATAGGGAGGTTGGGGCCAATTATATTGAACAAGTGTACAAGGTAGAGAAGTAGTGATGCTTGTTGGATGGGAAGCAAAGAGGCAACTAAGTATGTATGTAGTGCTCAACTAACCAAAAAAAGATGCCTAAAGGTTAAGATAATGTTTGTGAATGGAAAATGGTCCCGACAAGATATTGGGAGGAGATATTAATTAAGAACCTAAAATATGGAGCACCCAACAACAAGATTTTTGGGGCATGCAATATAATCCACCAAATGTTTTCGATTGATTCGCATGTTGTTGTCCTTTTGGGTTTTGGTTTGCTTTTTGGGATGTAAGGAATAAAAAGAGTGGTGAATGATTTCAAGTCCATCAACCATGTGATGTGCTCTCTTCTCTTTACACCCATTATATTCAAACCTCCTACCTCCAATCAATTAAAGGTAGATAGATAGATACACCTTATCTAACCTATATATATATATATATATATATATATATATATATATATATATATATATATATATATAATGTGCTCTTGTAAAAAGTGAGAACTGATCTCAGTCGTTCATTAGAGTTGATTAATGGTTAGGAATTTTATAAGTAATGGGGTCAAGTCTATAATTATTAAAACTTTTAAGAACACGATTCATTTTATAATTATTACAAACTTGAAAGTTTATTAATGATAAAATCATCCTACCTTTTAATTTTTAAAATAGAGGGTGTAGATGTGTCCATGCATTTTAGAGGGAGTGTTTGGTCATTTGTCCCTAAATGATAATCATTTCCCGTCTTGAATGCTAATTAAATGAGATTAATGACCATTGATCTTTGAGTTAATGAACAATTTGGTCCCTCAATTATTAGTGAACTGTCAATGTAGCCCCTCAATTGCTTATTTATCGATTTGGTCCCGGAAAACAATTATTTTTAGTTGATTTAGTCCCTCCGACAGTCCAGCCGTCTTCCGTCGATGGCCGGAGGGACTAAATCAACTAAAAATAATTGTTTTTGGGACCAAATTGACGACCGAAGGGACTAAATCGACTAAAAATAATTATTTTCCGGGATCAAATCGATGAATAAGCGATTGAGGGACTACATTGACAGTTCGCTAATAATTGAGGGACCAAATCGTTCATTAACTCTTATCTTTTATTTTAGGAATAAGGGTCAAATAGGCCACTGAACTGCACACCAAAATGCAATTAGGTCATCGAACTCAAAAATAATGCAATTGGGTCCCTAAACTACACAAAATCATGCAATTAGGTCTAAAATGACCTGTTGACCTGAAATTGTGCTGACGTGGCGGTTACCAATTTTAAATATAATTTTAAATAAAAAATTAATTAAATTTAAAAAAAAAAAAAAAAAAAAAAAAAAAAAAAAAAAAAAAAAACTAGAACTGCCGAAGACATTCGTCTCCGGCCATGGAGACGAAGGTTCGTCTCCCTAGCCATGGAAACGAAGCCTTCGCCTCCATGGCCAGGGAGACGAAGCTTTCGTCTCCGGTCATGGAGACGAAAGACTGCCGGAGACGATTCGTCTCCGGCAGTTTTAGTTTTAGTTTTTAGTTTTTTTTTTTTAATAATTATATAATTTTAATTATTTATTTTATTTTAAAATATATTTATAAATTATTTTTAAAATTGGTAACCTGCATTTCATGTAAACAAGTCATTTTGGACCTAATTGCATGATTTTGTGTAGTTCAGGGACCCAATTGCATTGTTTTTGAGTTCGATGGCCTAATTACACTTTAATGTACAATTCAGTGGCCTATTTGATCCTTATTCCTTTATTTTATATGACTTAAATATTTTCTCATGTAAAAGGGTATACTATTATAATATATATAAACGCGCGCGCATGCACACACATATATAAAATCTTTTTTGGTTTGATTATCCTCCCATAAACATATAAACCCACTTACATTCCATGGAACAAAGTCATGATAACCTAATTTCATTTGACCTATACATGAATATCATATTGGCTTATCCCTTCCTAAAGTGATGCTTACACCAATGAATAAGTAACATGGAACAAAGTCATGATAACCTAATTTCATTATTTGACCTATACATCAATACCTTATTCCTTCCAAAAGTGATGCTTACACCAATGAATAAGTTACCAATCTCAGCCTAATGAGAACTCTTGACTGTGTTGTTTGCAAACTTTAAATTGGGTTTCAGCAAAGAAAAAAGTGTCCACTATGCCAAGATAGGTAGTTATGATTCTAATTAGTGTGAAAAGATTTATTGGGGTTTTTTTTTTTTTTCTCAAATCATTAAAATTAAATGTTAGATTCGTGCATCTTATGCAATATGATCTCATATCAAACTATTATTATTTTGAATGAATGGTGGCTTTGTAAAGAACGGGACGAGGAGAGTTGAGAATGATGAGGGAAAGAATACAAACTAAAGAGAGAATAATTGAGGCATAGATTAGAAAGATAGAATAATTTACACTCTCCACTAATTAAGCATCAAATAATTCTTTTCTTTTAGACATATATCATACGGTAACACTAATTTTTAAATTTTAGATTATATTCTAATTTGTTATCATGATTCACATAAAGTATACAAATAATTTTAGATTACACCTGCTCACAAGATTACTAGTTCTCATCTGATTTTAATTATAATCAAAACAATTCAATGAATACAATAAAATATTTGTTTGTGTGCATATATACACAAAAGGTGGGTGCACGAACCATATATATAAATATAAACTTCTCTACACAATCATTTGAATTAAGGAAAACAACAATATACCTTCATGGATAGACCCACTGCAAGAACACACACACTACAGCTTTCCCATCCGCCCTAACCTCCGCCGCCGCCGCCACAACCACCGCCACCTCCGCATCCGCCGCCGCCACCACAGCCACCCCCACAACTACCAGCAGCAGCACAGCAACAACCTTGGGGGCCCTGGGCAATGGATTGAACCACCGTATCCGTTACATCCACCGCCACTTCAGCAACACGCCGTCCATCAATGCCAGTCTCCGCCGTCGCCGCCGCGCCGGCTACGGCGGCGCCACCTCCGGCGAGAACAGCCATATTGCGGACTTTCTTGGCCTCATGACCCCTTTCAACCGAAGCACATATAATCATCCCAATAAAGACAAGTATGCAGAGGACTATGAAGAAGATGATGTATGCGTTCATTATATTATTTTTATTATTATCACCTGAAGACTCATTCTTCAGATCCTTAGCGGCATTTATGGGAACGGTGACGAAAAGGATTGATTATTATTTTAATTTATTACAGCGACAAATAATGATTTATATATGTACTACAAAGAATTAAACATATATGAATCTCAACTTCAAAATGATTGGTTTTGAGCTGATTCTTGTTATCATTACAAGTTTCGAGGAAATTGTGGTTTAATGTTACTATGTTAATTATTGGAAATTTTATATGGGATGTATATATGTTGTCTTCTTTTACTTTGGTACGTAGTGGTTCTGCATGTTTCTGGACGGCATAGCTAATCATATTATATAATTTGGAAAAATTAATTACACAAACTATTCCAGAGGTAGATTGTGTGCATTTTGTGCACTTATGTAGACGCTTTTGTGCATTTATGTATAATTTCACCAGTTCTCACGGAATGAGGGATTCACAAATGAAAACAAGTCTCTGCTTTAAAAAAAAAAAATGTAGACTAATCTGATCCATTCATCTGAGATGATATGATGGACAAGGTTGAAAATTTGAAGAAAAACGTTGTAGTTTTTTCATAAATATTGTACACTTTTGTCTTGCACTGAGACAAGCTCGAGACTTGGGAGTGCATCCTCTGATAACTGAGATGATGTACAATCAAGGTTTATCTGGTGCACTATCTGCTATACCCACTACTAAAAATTATAAAATTTCCGACCACCTGAAAGTGATCTTAAATCAAGTCGAAAGCCTTGTTCCGACCACTTTTAGTATCCGGAAAAACCTTTATTGCTATTTCCGACCACTTTTTGCTTACGATTTGATTTAAGATCACTTTCAAGTGGTCAGAAATTCCATAATTTTCAGTAATGACACCAGGACACCGGGTATAACATACATGATTATACCTAGTATCATTGGTACCGTAGAATCCATGTTTCAAACATCCTAACTATTGGGAAAAGTTTACAAGTCCATGCAAAGCAAGAGAGAACTAAAACTTGTTATTATTGCAACAATGTCAGGAGGAACAAAGAAAAGGTTGATTCAAAAGCCACAATAAATGTGCCCCATTCAATGAAATATTGAGAAATCAAAATTTGAGGCACATCCAGTTAAACTTCTACACTTCTCTCTACCTAACTAAGCTTGCCCATATAATAATGATTTAGGAAATTACATTCTACAATTGATCATAGTAAGTCTGAGGAGCTACATATCTAGACTCGTACCCGTAATTTACATGTCTATCCACAAAAAAAGCTTCACTAGGATGAGAAAAGCTAACCTCCATCAGGTCGTCGTCGCCTCCCTGTACACTACCGGGGTGTGAATCCACGACAAACCCTTTGTTCTCCGAAAAAAATGCTGTGTGGGGCCTAGTTCCCGAGAACATGCTACACGTGATTGTTCTCTTCGAGTTATAGTCCGGGGCAGACATTGTGTTGATGAACGAAGAGAACGGGTCGAGGGCGCTGGCATCAGCGTAATCGACCGTACTGAAAGAGTCCCGGGTGCTCTCGGTAGTGAAGGATGCTTCATCGGAGCTCGTGAAAAGGGACCAGTCACTCGCGGTGGCATCCGAGATCTCCATGTTCTCGGAATACGTTCCCATTATTGGCGGTCTGTTCCTATTCGCATTTCTCAGGACACTACCAGAAGTGCGGTTCATGACATCCACTCCCGTCTTCAATCTATGGTCACGAGATCGATCCGGGCATGCAAAATGGTTACCGGCTTTGATTTGCTCGGGTCGTGAAGGTTTCTGAGATTTTGCGGAGCTGTGCTTTGAAATCCCGTGAACTAGGTGCCTGGTACCCTTGCTAGTTCCAGTTCTATCTGGCCGGGGGGATGACCTATAACAAAGCGTTATACTTAGCGATCCTGTAATTACACACATTGAAAGCAACTTTCTAGATTTTGAATTAAAACCGAAAGATGTACCTCATGTAAAACAAGATATATGCGCCTTCTGTCATAACTCGGCTCATAGGTACTTGCTCAACCTGTCATTTTGATAAACCCGTTTTACCAGACAGTAAGCTTAAAGCACACATTAAAAGCAACTTTCATATTCCTTTTTCCTCGTTTAATTTGCCCAATTATTAGAGTTCAGTTTGGATTTTACCTCGACAATTACTGAAACAAAAACAATACAATTTTATGTAGAACTTTACCTTGGTATCATCAATCCTGAACCAATTGCCTTGCATATCTTTCACATAGGATATATAATGCCCCGAAAATGACGCATTTAGTGTATCTAAGTGGACGACGACAGCATAAAGCATGTAAAGCGGAGGTACATCATCGGTCCCGGTCATATATGGTATCATATCCAGCATTTCGGGGAAAGTAATGCACTTGTTTATCTTGCCATAACACCCACCCTGACAATCATAGTAAAAAAAAAAAAAAAAAAAAACATTCAAAGATCACTAGAGCACGATATAACTTTATGGCGGGGCATCTTCTTAGCCTAAATATATTATGCCTGTAAGTTTTTATTAATTGGGGAAAAAAAACTATCTTATGAGGCAGCATAAACGTTATGACTTTAACAATCAGCTAACAGCTAATTTACCAAACATCTTTCTACAATCAACCAATTCTATCAACTAATCAAACCCACTGACCCAATCAGCTAACAGCTATCAGCCAACAGCTATTTACCAAACATCCCTAATAGTCTGTAATGCATTATTTGTAACGCGGTGAAACATTACCTGAAATCTTTTCAAGACAATAGTCAAGATATTAGGAGCTTCCTGTATGCTTAATTGCTTTTGTGCTCGAACATATGAAGAACAGCTTTTTTCAACAACATGCAAAAAAACATAAGTAATTAAATATAAGTCTCTCCAGTTATAAGTCAAATAGGACATTCAAAAGGAACATGAAAAGTATTGTATCAATAACACACCTTCCACATCTATACATGTTTTCTCCATCAAGATCTTCGGGACTTGTAAATTGTGTCAACGCATCTTCAAGGGATTCAACCCAGCCATATATTTCCAATGTAAGATCCATGATGTTTTCATAGCACTCTGACTCGTGATGACATCTCAAACATTTGACCTAGTTTAAATAAGACTTCCGTAAATCTAAATTTTATAAAAAAAATATTGAAATTACAGGACAAAGCATCAGAAGATTGAACTTGAAGATGACCAAAAACCTTAGATCTTAGTCGTCCCCCAAAAATGTGCTGAATAAAGGTTGTTTCCTGCAGTCTAGGTTCAACGGCCTTTTCTCCACCCAAACCTTCCAAGCATATAGATTGCATTGATGCCACAAGAAGCCTAGATAAACACGAAGTCATAGATATTCAGGATATCGAACATACTAACCGTATGAGAGTAAAATCTATAATAGTATTTGTAAATTTCAATACTCGCAAAACTCATCATAGTTCTCTTTTATATTCACTTTACAAACAATCTTTGCGATGAAAGAACTGAATTTGTTTATAACAATTTGACACAAAAACACGCAATAATTTCCAATGAGAACGAGGATTTGAGTCATGTAAACCTTAAAAATTCATGTGCATCTTCCTGGCTTCCGTTTCCAATCTGGCTGTTTATGCTCTGCATACGCAAAAGAAATCTATTGGGAGACAGAGGTTCCCCGCTCTCTCTTAACATCATCACATGCTGCTCAAGTTCACACATGAGGCACCAATCTCTGCCACAGCCTGGTACACGAGTTCAAAAATATATACGATTTTCTTCTATGTAGACAGATTAAAGACAGAAAATGGCAGAAAGAGCATTTCAGAGAAGTTAATTACAAGTTCGAGAATGTGATCGATGAAGCAGATAGACTGTTAGAGGTTTGGTGAAGGTCAAACACTGCAAGACTGCATTGGCATAACAACTGCAAAATAGAACCAAAGAAAAGAGCGAAAACGAATGGCTTAATCAGGTAGTGGTGCCATAGAGATATTTTAGACTACTTTTGGGAAAACCGAAATTTTCAAATATCAACACTAAATTTCAAAAAGAACTAAAAGTATACCTATTCCCGCAATTAATTAGTCCTCTAGGCGAGACATTGAGAACTTCATACTGAAAGTACTTCACAAATTCTTCATAAGGAAACAGCATCTGTACATTTGAAAAAAAGCATTAATTAATGCCCAGAATAGACTTCCTCAATAAAAGTAAATAACATTAATAACAGAGTTTAAATGGAGATAAAGACATTTTTTTTACCAATAGACTAAATTCTTTCAAGCTTTCTGTCTATTAAATAAAGCAATGTTAAACCTCAATCTAGAGCTCAGTAGAGGCCGACCTTTAATTTCTTGTGCTTGTCAGTTTTGACTACTGAATGTGCTTGCCTGTCGGGCCTCGATGACTTCATTAGACCAAACATTTTCATGATGCCATTGCGTCCATTAGAAGGAATCGACTCCTTTATTTTAGCATTTCCTGCATCACAAATCAATTTTCATGCAAAAGAAGAGAATGAACTTCATACAGAAAATTGAAGCATGTGCTCCATCTCGACTAAAAGCCTAAGCTAATAGTTGGGTTGCACATTAATGGTTATATGCAAAGATTCGAACCCATGACCTTTGATCTAGCTCTGATACCAAATTGAAGCATATGCTCCATCTCAACTAAAAGCCTAAACTAATAGTTGGGTTGCACATTAATGGTTATATGCTCAAGACAGAATAGAAAATTAGAAATGCAAGAAACATACTCAATTCATCCGCTTTCTGACCCTCCCCATCCTGATCTGAACACATTTCATCTCTTGATACTTTCGGTTTAGGTTTATTGATTTTCCTTGTTGCACCCATTTCACAAGAATAGTCCATGCCAGCAGTCATATCCTGAGAAGTTAATCCTCCCGAGAGAATGTTATCTCCATTACTCGTATCCACTTGAGTTTCCCATGCATTTGTCTCGTGACTCTCTAAATTCTGTGCATCTGAGCTGGCATAGTAGCTTTTTGTCCAGGGATCATTCTCACTTTGCCTCTGTGACATATAACCGTTCTGCATTGCACTTTTGTTATCACCGGGAACGCTATACTGTTCATAAAGCATAGAGTCACTCTCTTGTAACTGCAGTAAACAACAAATAAAGCATGAAGAAAGCGGAACCACAGAAATGTAAAACCCCATCACTTTCATAATTGATGAGACTTAAAACCTTATTTCTAGTAGAAGATTCTGATGATGGAACCGTACAGCACGAAGTTGATGAAGTAACTCTACTCCTAGAGGATTGATCAGAACCTTCTAATATGTTTCCTTCAGCTTTTCTATTTCCTTTCCGTGAAGCTCTTCGTTCAATAGATCTTCTCTGTCTCAATGGAGATTCAGAGGGATCTATCGAAGCACAAGCAACACCAGTTGAGCTTGGTGTACTTATAGGAGGAGATTGAACGATATGGTCAGAAGGGTCTTTCTCGAACTTAGGCTGCTTGGCATTGTGTTCAAGAAACTGTGCACTTATGTTACTATCAACTGAGACCCGTCCAGGGAGCTCTTCCAATAGCTGGCACTCTTGTTTGTGAATTTCCCTCCAATGGAGAATCTGGCACTTGCCCGAACTGTATAGACATTATCACTTGAAATAATTAGCTTTGGCCATATCCATACCAAATTTTAAGCATGATATTCAGAGGGGGACGGGGGAAAGACAAAAGCTTCAACATAGCACTGCAAGTCCCTAAACGAGAGATCCAAGATAGCTGACTAAATCAAATTCAAATGTTTAGTCATACCAATAGCGAACAGACTTGCATCTAGAGCACCGAGTTGTTGCTTGACCATAGCACCTTGCACACTGATGAAGCGAAGTATTTGGCAAAGGCACACTTGGCACACTTGCAACCTGATGAAGTGAATTGCTCGGCAAAGGTACAGGTACAGGTACAGGAGGAAAGACATTGGCAGCAGACATGGCTTCTACCCTAAAAGCTTCTTCAGCAGCCTGTTGAGCTAATACACTTGCCCTCCCTTTCTTTTTTGCAGCCTCATTCCATTTTCCTAGGAAGATGTAAATAACAAGCGGAAGCACAACTAGGAACAAAAACAGAGCAAGAACATCGGTTTCACTTGGCTGGAGCATGATCCCACCAGAAAACTCATGTCCAATTTGCCGAAACTCCTCCTTGAGAACACTGATCACCTTTAGCTACAAAAAGCTCAAGAGAATTTTAATCAATATGTCAATGTCTACTGCAGCAAGAAACATTAGCCCCATTGTATGTGAAAAACAAATAAGGATATAGCAAAAGCAATCATCAGACTTGAACTAATTGCACGTTTGCATCTTCCTTTTGCATGAAAGAATTGAAGGATTTGAAAGATTTCCAAAGCAAGGATTAGAAGTGTTTTGTTTGACAGTAACCTAAATCAACTCGAACTACTTTCTAGAAGTAAGAAGAACAAGTAATTCACATTATTACAAATTAAGCAAGAATTATAAGTGTATTTATCAACAAGAAAGAATCATAAAAACCCTCCTTTTTTCAGTGAATAATTTACTTTTTTTGACAAGCTTAGATCTAGTCACTCAAGCATTGGTTGCTAACAAGGAAATAAGTAACTATCATTCCTCTAAGAAATGGTAACCAAATCTGCTATGTCAGAAAAGCAAACGATATGTCCTTATTCGCCCAAACTTAGTAAGGTTAGAAGATTCTATCCATATGCAGAATGAAAAGGTTCATTCTTTTCAGTTTTTCACTGCCAGAATTCTCTCTAACGGGTATTTTCTTGTCTGTTGAGGGACGTAAACCTGCCTTCATATAGGAAGGCCAACCAAACAAGCACTAACTCTTCCTACATAGAAGCTTTTACAACATCATAGTCCAAATAATGTAATTCCTCCACCTACTATGTTGAAAAAAATATCAATACTAGTGGTTTCCAAATGATAGGAAATTTTCTGGAACTCGCCATATCAAAATAGCAATAAATATATGTAATGAGCAGCACTTGTACATAATTGGATCAAATTAAACAATAAGATTGGCAGGAAAAAAGCTTGGTTATAGCATATGGTGCCTCTTTGTTTCTCTAGCTCTTGATAGATAAAAGTATTTCAATTTAATCTTCTAATGTTTTACTCCCTCCTTCTCTCTATATGGTGCAGAACAGCTTTAAGCAATAAGACTCCCAGTCAATTCTCTGAATGTTCCCACTAATTTCACCAACTCCTGTCAATTTTTTGACCAATTGTACTCTAAACTCCATAAAAAAAATTAATTAATTAATCAATTAATTAATTAACTAAACCTCAACAAACAAGCTATCCAACGGCTGCATTTGCAAATAAAAGTAAGCGCAGAAACCCATTTCTGGAAATGGAAAGTTGGGGAAACACAGTGAGATGAACTCAAGGAGAAGGAAAAATAAGAATGTTCAAGTAAAGTAACCCCGACACCCAGCATTTTCTAGGTAGAGCATAAAACTTTCCCTTACACTCGTACCAATAAAATAACATTAAAAAAAAAAATCTAATCTTTATGGTGTTTACGAGCTAAAACGCCAAGACCCAGATAAAATCAGGCGTTCAAGCTCGAGATTCAGATAAGAACAAGCATAGAGACACGGTAGAACCCAGAAAGATCCTTAGGCCAAGTTAATACCTTTCTGCATAAGAGGCAAATCAGGAGAATAACACCCTTGGTCTCTTTTGCAGCTCCTGGTTCTTCTCTTGTTAGCTCGGAAAGATACTTTTATTCCTCAAATGGTAAGAAATCCACCGCTTCTGCTCTCCATTGGCCTGCCTGGCTTCACAAAATGCCTCCCTTCTTCTCACTACTCGTTTGCACTTTAAGATTGGGGAATACTCGTCTGTGCTCACTCCACACCCTACAGCTTCAGTCCAGGACAAAGGCTTTGGACTCGGTGGACATGATTTCAGACTTTCCGGTGGGTGGGGCCCGGAGAGGATAGATCAGGGCCGTCGATCGCGTCCTTGTCAGATGATGATGGAACCAAAGAGAAAGTCTTGAAATTGGTCTTCTCTTCTCTGGAGAGATGTTTCAGTTTTTATTTGTATATTTGTTTAGTAACCAAAAAAAAACCACTGTTATTGCTCAAAAATGTACATTAGTTTAAGTTATTTATATTTAATTAATTTAAACTAATAAAATTAATAGATTATATTTATTAGAAGTTAAATTTATAACATTGTGATTACTCTAATTAATTTAATTAATATTTTTTTTATATTTATTTTTATTTTTTAAGCAGTGAGGTGTGACTCGAAGAGAGTTTGAGTTCTCAATAAATGAGTTTAAGTTGTTTATAATTAATTGTCTCAAATTAAAAAAAATTAATATACATTTTTACTATGAATCAAATTTATAATATTGTAATTACTAAATTAACAATTTGATGAATTTAGTTGGAGTTTTATTTATTTCTTTGAGGAAATATTGAAAATGATCCTCCGACTATGGTATTTTTTTAAAAATTGGTCCTATAAATTTTAATTGAACCCAAACTGGTCCTCCAATTATTAAATTTTAAGTCAAATCGATCCTCCGTTAGTTAGACGTGAACTTAACCGTCAAATGGCAAAACAGAAAATTTACTTTGTATAATGTTTGGATTACCAATACCTTTGACTTTTCTCCCAAATTAGCGAATGAATTGTACAATTTACTGAGGGCAAAATAAAATTTAAAGGAAATTCACAATTTATAATTTACTGAAAGTTCTTCAGGCTTCAACAATTCGTTCGCTAATTTATGAGAAAAATCAAAGGCGTGGGTAGTCTAAACATTATATAATATAAATTTTATGTTTTTCCCTCTAATTTAACGGTCAAGTTCACGCCTAACTAACGGATGATCAATTTGACTTGAAATAGTTAGAAGACCATATTGGATTCAACAAGTCATAGGACAAATTTGAGAAAGGGTCATTGTTAGAGGACGATTTTGAAAATTGCCTCTATTTATTTTAATAAGTTGGGAGGTGGGGCCCAGGGAGAGTTTGAGTTCCCAATAATGGAAATGCGGTGGACACGTGTACGGGGATGATTAGCCGATGAGACGAATGTTGTGTGTGCTTTGCGGTCACGGATTTGATTTTGAAAGAGTGAAAGAAATTCCCCAATTTGTAAAGTGGAATAAAGCAGGTAACAGTAGATTACAGTTTGACTAATGACGTATACATCTCGGGTCGGGTCTCCCTATGGATTTCGGATGGTAGACCACGTGCGTTGCACGTGGGGACATATATGAGCAAATCATATTTTGGCTATTTTGATGCCTATCTGTTTGGTAAAGATCCCCCAATGTACAAACGAGCAAATCCTTTATTTTTTTTAATATTTTAATTAATTAATTATTAAAAATTATTTTAAAATTGATAACTTGCTACATCAGGTAAACAAGTCATTTCTGGTTAAATTACATGTTTTTGTGTTGTTTAATGGCTCAATTGTATTTTTGTAGTTCAATAGTCTAATTGTAATTTGATGTGCAGTTGAGTGGTCTATTTGACCCTTATTTCTAATATAATAATAATAATAATAATAATTATTATTATTATTATTATTATTATTATTATTATTATTGATGAAAATATATTACACATTCAAACCCTATGTACATAATTGCAACTAGTCATTTAGGTATATTTTAATAGATAATTGGGTGATTGATTCACACCTAAAACATGTAATAACAACAATATCATAAAATATAATTGGAGAAAGGTAATCCCAAAGGACCAAAAAGCACTATTATTGAAGTTTTGACAAACAACAAAAGGAATATAGAATTAGGAGGACAGTTAGTGTTTGATTAATAGTATATATTTATTTGGGACCATATTTAGTCATAAATCTGGTATGATCATTTCATCATTTGAACTTCAAAAGTACTCATCATATCATAGGCTTATCAAACAACTCCCTAGTCCCTACTTTTGGTTTTTTTTTTTTAATAAACTATTTTTCTTATAAATAAATACTTTTAAGGTGACAAGAGAAACCTATTGCAATTATACAAGTGTGTTTTAAGTAAATTTTAGTTATGTATACTAATCTATAAACTATGTAGAAAAGATAATCACACTAAAAATACCATGTGTAATAGGTTTGACAAAGAAAACGTTGGCAATAATTAAATTTGTGAAACACATGACTTTTTATTTAGAATTATAGATTGATACCATATGAGGATCGTTATACTGTGGACCATGGTCCACAGTGCTGGTCTTATACGCGTTTGTATGGGTCTTATGTTGTGAGTTTTTTTGTGTATTGTAATATAAAACTGTGTACCTAAAGAGTATCAATTATGTACCTGCAACAAATTAGTAGTTGTGTGTAAAACATATTGTGTGTCTTATGTTAGGGATTTATATATTGTGTTTTGAAATTTTATGCTTATAAAACATAAATTATCTACCTAAATCATATTTGAAAATAAGTAAATATATAACGTGTATGTGTTTTGTGTTGTAAGTTTTTGTGTCTTGTGTTATGAATTGATGTACATTGAGAATATGAATTATGTACATAGAATATATTAGTAGTTGTGTAACAAAACATATATATTGTGTGTCTTATGTTTTGAATTCATGTATTGCGTTATGAAATTATATGTCTATAGAACATAAATTATCTACCTAAATTAGATTTGAAAATAAAGTAAATATATAACATGTGTATATGTCTTGTGTTGTGAATTTTTGTATCTTGTATAATGAAATTCTGTACATTAAATAAATTATGCACCTAAAATATATTGTAGTTGTATAGTTAAATTTTAAAGATTAAAACCACATCGTTTTAATTCAGGGCCCACAATACTATGTGGACCTGGTCCACAGTATAAATTGCCACCATATTATCACTAGTTTGAACAGGTTGGCCCATATTTAAGTTTTGGGCCTAAAACGGTTCAACTTTGGCCCACCAAATATAAAGGCGCAAATTATGCTGTGCAACCGAATGCACCTTGCAAGGTGCATACGGTTGCAAAACGGCACCGTTTTGGTTAAAAAAACACGCGTCCCACTTAAAGAAAAAATCAGGTTCGATTTTCGACAATAGCATTTGTATATATCCAGAAATTCATAACTATATATCCACAAATTCATAACTATATATCCACAGTGAATGAATGAAGTAAAAATCCACAATGAATGAACTAAATATCCACAATGAATGAACTAAATATCCATAAATTCATAACTATATATTCATAAATTCATAACTATATATCCACAGTGAATGAATGGAGTAAATATCTACAATGAATGAACTAAATATCCACAATGAATGAACTAAATATCCATAAATTCATAACTATATATCCACAAATTTATAACTATATATCCAGAAATTCATAACTATATATCCACAATAATGCTATTGCCGAGAATCGAACCTGAATTTTTATTTTTTAAAGTGGAACGCGCGTTTTTAGTCAAAACGACGTCGTTTTACATCATATGCACCATGCGCATGGTACATTCGGTTGCACAACATAACTATTGATATAAAGGGCAACAATTATATTGTGGACCGCTGTCCACAAGGCTTTGTGAACCATGGTCTAAAAACGATGTTGTTTCTTTAAGTAAAGAAACGACAGCCGTTACAGTTTAACGGAGCGTGTATTTTTTATGTGTTAATTACCAAATAAAACTATAGTGTATTTAAACAGACACTGCCTCATTTATTATTTGTATATTACAAATGAAACAGCAATTGAATTGAACTGAAACTGTAGTTGGGTTGAAATGAAATTGCAGTGTATACAAAATGAAACAAAATAACAATTTCACAATTTGAGTGTATAATATCGAATAAAACTGTAGTTGTGTTGAAATGAAACCACAGTGTATGCAAAATGAAACTGAATAACAAAATTACTTTTTGCGGAACGGCGCAAAACGGGTGCCGTTTCTTTTCATTAAACAAAACGACGTCTTTTTTATGCGTGTACTACAATACATTGTGGACCGCGGTCCACAGTAAAATTTGTCATATAAAGAGAGAGTGGGAAAGAGTGAAATATGATTATTTTAAGTTATTTAAAACCACAATAATAATGAAAATTGTTGTAATATATATATAAAAAAAAAGTATTGTATTATCACTAGTAACTAGTAATTGTCACGAGCGATGCACGGATTATTATTAATTTAATAAATTTACCAATTAATTTTGTGGCATTCTCTAAATTAGCAAATAAAGTTATGGTTGTAGAAACAGAAAAATTTATTTCTACCAACAAAAAAAATAAACAGAAAAACTTACTTGATTTATTCAGCTCATAATTAGGTTTATTAAAAATGTAAGTATAACTATACAATATTTAATATTTTTAATAGTTTAATTATGATATTGCTATGTTGATTTTAAAATTTGTTGTTACTTGTATTATTATTTGAATTTCAAATAACTAATTTAATTATATAGCTAACGTATTTAAATAAAATTTGTAAATAAAATAACAGACAATATTTGTCAAAAATTTCCACAAAAAAATTATTCATTTGAAAAATATTATTTATGTAAGAACTATGTTTATTTTATATCTAATTTCTCATTTTTTATATATGTGGAATCAAATTAATTTTACTTGAGGTTTAAATGAATATATACACAAATTATATTAAATATAAAACTTTTTTTTGATTAAAAGAGAGAGGGAGAAACCCTCGGGACTCAAACACGTCTAAAAGCTATCGCTCCCAGTTGATCGAGCTTGAGGTCCTCCATGATATCGATGGGTGCTTCCCGGAGATCCCGATAGCCAACCTGGTGCTTGAGAGCCGCCGAGAGGTATTAAATATAAAACTTTACTAATAAATGCATTCATATTTCTAATTTTATTTGCATTCACACTTGATGGGAAAATTTTTCCCCCATTTCATTTTGCTTTAATATATATAGAGATAAAGATATAAATAAAGATAGAGATAGAGATTCTACCATTTTGCTATTTTATAATAGAGATTACTACAATTTTGAATGAAAACTTTTGCCAATTGATCATTTACTACTTTTTTATTGCTATTTTATAATAGAGATTTTTATAAATACTTATAAAAATGATGAAATATTGAGTGCTAAACTAAGCCATAAGTCTAATTTGACTTTTAATTCTTATATCGTTTCTCTGTTACACCTTTATCATATTCATTATTATTATTATATTAAATATAAAATTCTACTAATAAATGTGAACACAATAAATACATTCATATTCCTAATCTCATTTGCATTCACACTTGGGCAGGAGCTTTAATATATATAAAGATAGAGATAAAGATAAAGATATAATAAAGAGATATAGAAATAGAGAGATATAGAGATAGAGATAGAGAGGTATGAGGATGAGCAATCATTATGCGTTGGACCAGTGTCTAGCATGCATGCTGGACACGGGTAACAGTGCCGTTAGGCACTGTTATCTCCTTTTTTTTTTTTTTTTTTTTTTTTTTTTTTTTTTTTTTTTTAAATTTCAGACCGCTTCGTTATAGGAATATATGTTCATAATTTTATTACTATATGTTAATAACTGTACATTCATAACTCCATAATTGTACGTTCATAACTCTATAATTGTACATTCATAACTCCATAACTATACATTCATAACTCCATAATTGTACATTCATAACTCCATAATTGTACATTCGTAATTTTCGAAGCTCTATGTTCACAATTTTAGAGCTCTATGTTCATAATTTTATCACTATATGTTCATAATTGTAAGTTCATAATGTCAGAGCTCTTTGTTCATAATTCGATCAATAACTGTACATTCATAATTCCATAACTTATTCATAATCTCATAACTGTAGATTCATAACTCCATAACTGTAGATTCATAACTCCATAACTGTACATTCATAATCTTCGAAGCTCTATATTCACAATTTTAAAGCTTCATGGTCATAATTTTATCACTATATGTTCATAATTGTAAGTTCATAATGTTAGAGTTCTGTGTTCATAATTTCATAATTGCATAACTGTACATTCATAACGGCATAACTGTACATTCATAATCCAAAAAAAATAACGCCGTTAACGGCAAAACGCACGTAATTTTTTTTTTTTTTTTAAAAACTAAATGACGCGTTTTTTTTTTTTTTTTTTGAAAAACGACGTCGTTTTAGGTCCGTGTCCATAATTCATTGTGGACACGGGTCCAGGGCATAATTTGCCGAGGGTGAGAGAGTTCAGGTAAAGTATTGTATTTGTTATTACTAACTTACTAAGTCAAATGAGCTGTAATATACTGATATTTTTGACACTTAATTGAGTTAATTCTTATATCGTTACTAACCCATAAGTCTAATTTGACTTTTAATTCTTATCATATCGCCTTTATCAGATCATTTACTCGAATTCATTAAACACTTTTTAAGTTAATTATAAGATTTTTAATAATGATAATTGACATATGTAATGTATGATGAGTTGAAAAATGTGAAATATATATAAAATTGAACTTGCCAACAACCACCTACTACTACTACTAGTCACAAAGTCAGAAACGAGTCATGTAGGTGAGATTCAGAATCAAGATTCGAAGCCGCTATTAACCTTGCCCATAAACTGTGTAAGATACGGATTACTAGGAATCCAACGCGAGAGAGGAGATTCCTCAGTCCAATCAAAGCTCTCCGCTTGTTGGCTGGGAATTCGGAATTAGGAATTACACCTTCTTTAGGAGACTGGAGTGGCTATGAAACCGCCCTCTGAAGTTCTTGAAGATCTCAGTTGTCCTCTCACTACCACAGCCGCCATGGATGATAATAAGAGGAGATCGTACTGGCGGTTTAGCAAGAATGATTTTTTCCCGGAGCCCACATTCGAGAACTTCTCCACCTACCTCCACGCCCTGGGCCGGACGCCGGGTCGCCTCAAAGACCGGTTTTTGTCCCGCTCCGATGAGGCGACGGAGATGGTGGAGCTGAAGAAGGAGTCGGAGAACGAGATGCAGAAATGTCTCACATGGTGGGACCTCATGTGGCTCGGGTTCGGGTCCGTAGTCGGGTCGGGCATCTTCACCATCACCGGCCTCGAAGCGCGCGAGGACGCCGGTCCTTCCATTGTTCTAGCCTACGCAATCTCCGGCCTCTCCGCTTTGCTCTCTGTTTTCTGCTACACAGAATTCTCCGTCGAGATCCCAATCGCCGGCGGCTCCTTCTCCTTCCTCCGCATCGAGCTCGGCGATTTCGTGGCGTTCTTGGCCGCAGGTAACCTTCTATTGGAAGCCGTCGTAGGCGCCGCCGGGCTAGGCCGCTCCTGGTCTTCCTATTTCTCCACTCTCATAAGCAACAATGCCGATTTCTTGAGAATCAAGATTGATTCTTTCGCTGAAGGGTTCAATTTGTTGGATCCAACGGCTGTGGTGATTCTCGCCGTTGCAAATGGAATAGCCATGACTGGAACTCGCCACACTTCCATTCTCAACTGGCTAAGCTCCATAATTACTGCTTTGATTATAGTTTTCATCATCATTGTTGGGTTTATTAATGCCAAAACTGAGAATATATCCCCATTTATCCCCTTTGGAGCTGGGGGGGTATTTAGGGCTGCAGCTGTAGTGTACTGGTCTTATACAGGTTTCGATATGGTGGCAACAATGGCGGAGGAGACTAAGAAGCCCTCTCGGGATATACCGTTAGGTTTGGTTGGTTCAATGTCTATTATCACTGTAGTTTATTGCCTAATGTCATTGGCTCTCACCATGATGGTGAAGTACACCATGATTGATCCAGATGCCCCGTTTTCGGTTGCTTTCGAGGGGATAGGGATGAAATGGGCTAAGTATTTGGTCACCGTTTGTGCTTTGAAGGGAATGACGACGAGTATGCTAGTAGGGTCTATGGGGCAGGCTCGATACACTACTCAGATTGCCCGGGCGCATATGATTCCCCCGTGGTTTTCCCTCGTTCATCCGAGGACGGGGACGCCAATATACGCTACTTTGTTGACCACCATAACGAGCTGTGTTATCTCGTCCTTCACGAGCTTGGATGTCTTGTCTAGCGTGTTCTCGTTCAGCACGCTTTCCATTTTCATGCTAATGGCGGTTGCTTTGCTGGTTAGGCGATACTACGTTAAGGAGCAGACTACGAGAGGCGATTATATCAGATTCTTGGTGTGTCTGTTTGTCATCATGTGTTCATCGATTGGAGCGACGGTTCTTTGGAACCGGGATAGTAGAGGATGGGTTGGGTATAGTGTGGCGGGCGTTTTATGGGGTTTGGGCACGTTAGGAATGGGATTGCTTCCGAAAAAGAGAGTTCCGAAAGTTTGGGGAGTTCCCCTCGTTCCTTTGCTGCCATCGCTGTCGATTGGGATGAACTTGTTTCTTATAGGGTCTCTTGGTGCCGTCGCGTTTTGGAGGTTCTTTGTATGTAGCGCCGTGATGGTAGTTTACTACCTACTCGTTGGTGTTCATACTACGTACGATATGGCTCATCAAGGTCATCCCGCTTTGAGAACTGAAGAGGGGAAAGGCGCTTCCGATCAAGAGTTATAGTAGGTTAGATGCCGAAAATCTGCATCTTCATTTATGTACATTTCACCAGATGTCAAGGTTCTTTGGCTCAGTGTCTAGTATTAAAGGTAGAATATGGTTTCATTTTAGTTTAGGATGGTTTCTTTTTATTCTTTTGGAGTTTGCAGTGGTGATCATTGACAAGCTAATAGACATATCACATATGTGTGATTAACATGGATTGGAAAAGAAATGTCAATGAATAATGTGTCATTTTGATTCATTATTGTCAATGAGGTTTTGTTATGCATGTGTCTTGTTTTTTCATGTGATCTTAAACCAGGTAACTTTATGCTGCATTTTTTTTGAGTGCCGGGAAAAAATCCTTAGTGACTACCAATGTTGTAAAAATCGCGCCGCCCGGCCGTGTTAAGGAACGCTGGATTCGGCCTCCTCCGCGGCAGGCCGCCTAGTCGGCCGAACCCAAAGGTTATTTGCCAAAATGATGTACATTAGGTAAAACCGGTTAAGCGACTCTAACCGACAAAAGACCACACAGAGGTAAACCAGCTTAGGTTGTTCATAGCTGACCATCTCAAATTAAGCAGGCTAATAGGCCTCTACCATTGGAAGTCGAATTTGGAACCTTGTGGTTGCCAAGTCAACAGCCCGACCAGCTTGGCTGGAATTGCCAGTTTTTGTTGCATTTTAGAGGTTCAAGAAAAGAAGTGGAAGGAGTTCATAAAAATTTGAACACATGCAAAATGTAAAAGGTTGAAACATGATCAAAATGGTAGGTAAATCATCTTACAAGCCAGCAAAAAAAAGGAACTAGGAGAGAGTTTCTCCTGTAGTTGCAAGTGTTGAAAAACTGCTTTATTTCTGGGTTTTCTTCTTCCACAGATCAAACATTTTGATGCCAGAGCTTCTCCTCTTCCCACTCCCAAAATCTTCGGTTTCACCAATCAACCCGGGAGAGCCCAAATAGCTGCCATATCCTCCCACTGCAGATTCAAATACACTGCTGTTATACTGTTTATCCATCGATCCACACCTCTCAGAAATCCTTCCCTCGTTCATATCTGCCCCGCCTGCAAGAACTGCAGCCGCTGCATCTGCCGCCTTTCTCCACTGCTCGGTTTGCACTCGGAGTTTCTTCATCTCGGCTTCTAACTCCTCCTTCGCCTTCTCAGTGGCGTCTAGCTTCTCGTTTATCCTGGCTTCATTGCTCTTAGTAGCTTCCAGTTCTTGGATGACTTGGTTTAACTTAAGAGCTGTTTCTTCTTCCTTGGCTTTAGCTTGCAGATTTAAGCTTTTATTTTCTTGGCTGAACTTTTCAAGCTCTTTTTCCTTCGCTTCTAATTTTGCCCTCAATGAGTCTAATTCGTCGTTCTTTAGGCTCGGGTTTTCATACGACGCCTCTTCTTGATCACTAGCTTCACCGGATTTGGATTTAGGTTTTGGTTCCATAGAAATCTCGAAAACATCAGTTTCTTCATCTGTAGGGCCACTTTCTTGATTTTCGGTTGGTTTCTTTGTTTTCTTTTCAAGCAGTTCTTGAGCTGCTTTCTTTGCAGACTCAGCTGAGGCCAACTGGACTTTCAGACACCTGAGCTCTTCCTGCGCTTTCCCGAGCTGGGATTCTAAGTCTGTGATTCGCGCCCCGAGCTTCTTCTGGCTCGAGGCGTCGGACTGGGCACTGCGGGGTGATGATCGCCGATCACTCAACGGCTTGGGGCTCCGGTCATTCACCGCCCGGTGATGTGAAGAGTCTGAATCTGAGCTCGATGTTCTTAGCTGAGATGGAGCTCTCGGAGATTGCCTTTGAGGCATTTCTGAACCCCTTTTTCCCAAAACACAAACAAAAAGCTCAGTGCTCACCCTATCAATACAAATCGCTACACTATAATGCAAGAATGGTATGCATTGTAGGAATATAGGATTTTACCTTGATCTTGGCATTTGGCTTCCTCAAACAATGCAAGCACAGATTCTTGTTCTGCAAAACTATGAATCAGAAACACAAGTAATCAAGCTAACATAGTACATAAATGTGAAAAAGATTGAATTTTTGTTAAAGATTTCTGCTTATCATCATTATCCATGGATGCTAAGCAGGGAATTTGATGCTAGCTGAGTGAAAATCAAGAAACTATAATGCTGCTTTGGGAATGTGACTAAACCAAGAAAGTGCAAAAGGAAAAGAAGAGAAAAAGCAAATTGCTTAAAAAGACATGAGAGAAAAAGCAAAATAGGATGAAGCCCAAGCATGCTTTTTTAGATCAGAGCAAAAGCAAGTTTTCCAGTCCACTCTTCTTCCATGCACATCTCAATATCATTAAAAGATGTGCAATGCTTGTCTCTCCCCACCCCACCACTTCCTCAACATCCTAAATACCCAGTCAAGTTGGTCAGATTATTAGCCTAATAACAATAAAGTTCCAAATTTGACTGCCATTTTGAACAGTTTATTGATCTTCTTAGTTTGAGCTGATCAATTATGATAATCTAGGCTGGTTTATCTTCTGTGGTCCTTCGTTGACTAGGATCACAAGACGGAATTTAATGCACACCTTCAGATAGTAAATTTGTATGTCCAATATTTTCACTCAATTTCTAGAGTGTAAGGACACCTTAGAATCTTCATTATTGTGTTATAATTTGGTTAAAAGATGATAATCTAATCTTCATGTTTTGTTTTACACTTCAAGATTTATGTTTTCTACTTAACAGCACAAGAAAGAGGGAAAGCAGAAGATCAGAACACTGAATTGAAGCCACTCATCAACAATTATGTTTGGTAGAAAACATGAATGGAATGGAAGAAGCAAATGAAACATACAAAACCTCAGAAAATGCTAAAAATCTTACCTTGAAATCGTCAAGAATGTTTCCAGATTCTCTACCTATACCCTCAGATAACACTCCTACTCAATTGTTCTTTGGCCAAGAAGAGATACCCATACCCACCTGAAAAAGAATTACACAAAAGAAGAAGAAGAAATATATGCAGCAAAAATGATGGTGGCACCAGTACATTCAAGAAAGCTTGTGGGGGCAGTGAGAGATTTATATAAAGTTTTGAACTTTGAGCTCCACTATGAAATTTGAAAGCTTGGTGGGGCTAGGGAATTCAGAGGGAGAAGACAACTAGTGAAATTTAAAAAAGACCAGGGTAACTGCACAGTAAAAAACAATGTTGACATCTTGGGGTTGTAAAATTTGTAGTTAATTAGGGTTTTCTCATCACTTGGCAATTGTTACTCCCCATACCATTTTGAGTCAATTAGTTTGATTTAAATTAACTTCATGTGCTTTGTATGATCATACCCATCATAGTTTTTAACTACTCATTGTTCGTTTCTTGGTTTTGGGAATGGAGCAACCTTAAATTTTTAGGTCAATTGTCTCACCCAAAAAAGGTACTTACAACTCAGTGAAGAGGTGCCTACAACCCAGCAAAAGGATTAGTTTCTGTGTGACGGTGAAAACCTTGAGTATACCAAAAAAAAAAAAACAAATAAGCTACACATTAAATATTATACTAGATAAATTTAAAATAGAAGTCTTCAAAGGATCCATTATAGTCTAAATCTTTGATGGAAAGTTGATTTATTGGCATGTCAACTTGGAGCCCAATTTATTTATTTCTTGTCATTTTCCCACAGTTTGAAAAGCCCTTTTCACTCTCTGCATTTGGAAAACAGTGCATATATGCATCTAATCTTTGAAGTTTGAATTAAATGACAAGTTTGAATTTCTTGGTGTGTATTGGACTTTGAAGTATGAAACATGAAACCAAGGCAGCAAATTGCCTATCACATGGCCAACAGATTAGAAAATTAGACACATTCATGAATTGAGAGGGCAAAGTGTCACTAAGCAATTAAAGATGTAAGTTGTGAATTCAATTCGTAGTTGTGTAGTATCTCTTATGTATAGTTTGCGGGTTACTACACAAGAGTGAGTTTACTGAGTACACACCCTCAAAATCTCGAATATTTGATGCAGGTTTCCTTTGTCATCCAAAAATAAAATAAAATTGATATTAACATCAAATATTTTATGCTATATCTTACATTTCCAATGTAATAAAGTATCCGAGTCTCGGTCAAGACTTGGGTTGCACCCACATAAATTGACTCTTACTTGGAAAAAGACTGGCGTAAAACTTTTTAACATGACGTATATATCCAACCTTACGGTTGTATTAACAACTCGGGTATCTGATAAATATATTGTATATGTCAATGTGCATATAAAAGTCATGTGTTGAAGCATCCATAGGCCTATTGATGAACATGTTTTGTACAATGAGAGTAAGGAGAATCAAAGAATGAATTGTATTAATTAGCCCATTTCAATATGAGAGATCTGAAGGCTGAAGGCTGAAGTTTAAAGCATTATTGGGTTGGGTTGGAGCTCATATTCAAAACAAACAAATAGGCCCATTTAATAGTTATTCATAACAATTAGGATTATAGTTGAATTGAGGCCCATTAAACGAGTCCAAGACGTACTGCGATCAATCATTATTGTGTAGACGATACTATTAAATAATGTAATTCATTACACAAATAATGCATATACTTTTGGTATATTAAAAATATACATTATTTGAGTACTGAAAGTACATTATTTTGTATAATGTAGATTTAGTACACGAATAATGTACTTTTTGTTATGGTCCACATAATAATTTGCCTAGTGCAATAGCTTAGAGTCATTCAAAAATACAATATAACATATAAATGTAAAATAGGCATGAGTGGAATGACATTCCTGCTTATTCTGTTGTTTGTTAATACATGAGAACAGGGACGGAGCCAAAGGCGGGGGGGGGGGGGGGGGGGGGGGGGGGCAGAGGGGTCAGCTGCCCCCCTCATCCCACTCCCACCCTATATATAATTTTTGTATGTATATATGTATATATAGTATATGTGTTAATATTAGTAAAATAAAACTATTAAGTGTTCATAAGAGTTGATTTAGATGAGTTGATTGAGCACATTTTGGGTTGTTATAAAGAATAGGGTTTCAAATCTTGGCATTGACATATTTTTTAATAGTTGGCTTCAACAGTTTTTTTTACTCATTCTCTATGATTTCAACATAGTCATGTTTTAATAGTTGTTTAATATTTAATACACACACATATATATAACATTCTTTTATATTAATAATGAGATGTGTTTTTTTTTTTTAAATTATCTCTTTTGTTTTAATGTTTCGTCTTTACTGAAAAGAATTCTGAATCCTTCCCTACTTCTTCCCCCCCCCCCCCCCCCCCCCCCTCCCCCTCAATCAAATTTTTGGCTCCGTCCCTGCATGAGAATGGGCTATTTCTTTTCTTTTATAAGCAAAATAACATCCCTAGTATTAGCCTATTCATGAGTTTTCATAATAACTTAGATTTTTTATTTTCTACTTTACCCCTAATTTAACATGACATTTGTTTAATTTTTTTTTTCTCCCTATCACAATTTTGATATATTTTTTGCTATTTATTTGATTCTATGGTGACTTTCAAAAAAAAAATTCTATGATAAATGTATATGGTGTTTAATTTTTTTTTATATGATTTGTTATTTATTAAATTATGTTATGTTTGTGTAGATCTCTCTCTAGACTCAACATTATTAGCTCATTATTTTTCAATCATCTATTGTGATAGATCCTCACTCTAGAGTCTAGACTCAATATTATTAAATTAGCTCATTATTTTTCAAAATTGGCTGGTACTAGACCTAGTGACAATGGAGGTTGAACTTTAATTTGATAAACATTACTATACTACACTAACATTAATTGCAACCATCAATATTAATGACTACATAGGGTAGGGTTTTAAATCCTCAGAAAAGGAGTTTTTGTAGAAATCCGCAACTTCGGACATTTAACGATGACGTTGCACCATGTTCAATTTTTATGTTTCATAGTTGCTTTAATTCTGTCTATATAACTCGAGTAGTCAATTAATTATCGTTCATTGTTATTTCTAAAGATGGATGGAATTCAAATTACCCTACAAAGAATTAGTGGTGATAAAGACTATTTATGCATAGAATTGAGTAACTTTAGATTATTTGGTGGGGAACTGAAAACGCCATTAATATGTACTTCTGTAGGGTAAGCTACCACCATGCCCAATCTTCAAATTTATGTCTGTATGTACAATTGTATAAATGCTGCACCTAATCCCTCTGACTTACTGTTTTTGTCATTGAATTTATTGCACTTTTGAAAAAAAAAACCTAACATTTTTATGTGTCCTCTTTTAACTTTAACTTTAATTTGTACTTCTTTTAGCATTCAATTTTTAAAAATATTGCGACTTCAATTATATATATTTGGTTCAAATGGGGACAAGACTTCTCATACCGTCGGTACAGATTGTATCATTAAATATGTATAAACGTACCATAGTGTTTAAAAATGTACCGAAATGAAATGCACAAATACACCACACAATGTAACACACACCAAAAAAAAAATACACTATACACTTAATGGTGTATTTTCGAACACTTTGTGGTGCATTTATGCGTACCTATTGGTGCATGACTGCGCAACCGTACGGAAAGCACTGTCCGCCCGAGAACCTGACCATATATATATATATATATATATATATTTGTGTGTGTGTTGGGTGGGGGGGGGGGGGGGTTACTTGATAACAAATTCTTATGTAAAGGTTATGACTGATTTAATCGCACATCAATTCATCAAATGGATGGAGATTTTAGTAAAAAAGAAAGGTCAATTTTATAATTAGTATAAAATTTAAAATTTTTAATATTTATAAAACTAATTATTATTTTTTTCTTATTTTTCAACAATCATTGACGGTTGATCTATCTAAGTAGATAGATAAGATTAGTTTGCACTTTTTACTTATGAGCATGTTTTTACTGAGGCTTCTAATATTCCACCAAATATGTATCGTTTAATTTGAGCATGATCATTATTCACTCTAGACAATTTTTATATTTTTAGATTTAGATTAAATATAAACAAGGATTAATTATTTATGTAAATGTGAAAGTGGATGTTGAATATTATGATCTGGTCCCCTATTAAATTATTTATGGAGTACACTACATATTGGCTTGTGGGGATGTTTTATTGCAACTTTATTAATATTAATATTAAATAAAAATTAAAAACCACCCTTGTCGTCGCATCGAGAATTAAATATATAAATTAAAATTTGAAATCTGACAATCACACACAGAAGAGAACGTGCAGGCATGCTAGTGGCCAGGAGACTGGTGAACAAAAACTGATACGATAAGATTTAATTATAAAAAAATAGTACATGTACTCCTATTCTTTACTCCTAACTTTTACTTTTATACTTAAAATATTGATGTAGACATTTTTACAAGGACTTACATAAAAAAATGACTTATCAGAGCCCGCTACATCAAGAAATAAATTTGAGGGAGTACATGTTGTAGAACTCTTTAATGATATAAAATGATGTATTTGAGCATGTGACACTTTTATCTACTCTGGATAATGGATATGTATCTTTTTATAAAGTGAGAAAAAGCATGCAGCTTTACCGGCTCGGTTTTATTTGGTGGTGTTTGATAAATAACTGTTAGCTGATTGTGGTAGTGGGTTTGACTAGTATAACATTAGTTGATTGTAGGAAATTGTTTGGTAAATTAGTTGTTAGCTGATAACTGATTACATGCAAAATAACTTTCTCAAAGAGTTGATCAAAAGAACTGTTTTAAACAGTTTTTTGAATTTTAGCATTTTAGAGCAATAAGCTATTACAAAAAAAATAATTAATCAAATACTCATATTGTTTGTTTAACCAAGTTAAACAACTAATAGTGGTCAAATAAGTCAAAATTAATTAATAAATTAGCTATGTTACCAAACGGGACCTTTATTTATTTATTTATTTATTTTTGAGTTTTGAACATAATGAGAAAAGGGGCTCCATATTTTCAAAAAAAAAAAAAAAAGAAAAGGGGCTCCATACTCTATATGAAGTTAAAATATACATAACTAAATTTTAAAATCAATATATGAGTACAAAATTAATAATGTCAAATAATTTAAAGTTAAATTAAAAAAATTCTGTAATTTAAAAATTCAATAATTTACAAATTCAAAATTAATTATAATAGAAAACTTCTATGTGTATTTCTTGATGCAAACTCATCCATAACTGCATTAATATTAATATTGTATAGCATATCCTTCTCAATATGTAAGATTGTCAAGTCATTTAAATCTTATAGATGTATAGAATAATAAGTAATAAAATGATCATAAGTTTATTAATTAATAACTAATAAAACTTCATAAATTACAAATTCAAACTTTAGTGTCACCATAAAGATCAAATAAAGAAGAAATTGTAATCCTCTCTCAAATTGTAAAGAGTTATAACATCCTAAGATTAATTTGTTTCTTGATAGTTGGTATGTGAATAGCCAACCAAGGTGATCAAAATAGTACCGATAAATCAATTTATGATTTTGAGTTTTCAAACTCATCGAATTTCTAGTCACTACGCTAAGTCTTTTCTTTCTTATCAGAATATATATCGTACTTTAAATATTTTGAGAAAAAATCACCATGCTCTCAACAACTTTTTTTTTTTTTTCAAGATAACTTTTCTAGAGTATTAACAACTGTATAGTATACTTTCTTTCAACTACTTTTTCCAGCCTATTTTTAGCAACTATAAAATATTGTGTACAGTTTGCAAAAAATAAAATAAAATATTGAGTTCAATTATTTAGGAGGAGGTGTAATTGGTCCACGCGGCCACGCCTGTAATACTTGCTTTATATCTAGTAAATTATTATTCTTTCAAAAAAAAAAAAATCTAGTAAATTATTATTTTTAATTATTAAAAAATAAAAGGAAAACATTCAAGAATGAGAAAATGTGTTATGCATGTATGCTATATGCTCTTTAATTTCTTGATGGCTTGATGCATGTGGGGTAGCCGTAGTCTTAGAGGATGTGTATATATAATGATTATAAACGACATATGCAAATATAATACAAATATTACATTCAAATTGTGGAAGATTCGATGCTTTGAAATTTAATCGCAGAATATTTTGATAAAATGAAAATGTCAGCATAATTTATTTTGTCGCGTTTAATGTAAAAGTGAATGTGATTGTCTGCTCGTGATCACTCGAAGGCAACTTTGAATGAAGTTCTTATTGACGAGGTAGGAAAGAAAGACATGTTATTTTTTAGGTTATAAAGAGATGATCACTCATACCTTGATAGTTAAGTTTTGGACAATATATGATGAATAGAAACTATGTTGGAGTTGGAGTTTTCTAAAAATACAATGGGAGATTCCTTAGTGGTCTTGTCCAAAGTTTGTATGTGAATTGTAGCATCAAAGTCCCACTTTTACCATATTGATACCATAAAGTCCATCATGAATCATGACCAACCTTGTGACATGATACATACATGGTTACCAATTACAAATAATAAACTATTAGTTAAAGCCGTATCATAACCATCAAAATTAAGATCTTTTCATTATATATGTGTGTGTGTATTTTGGAGGACCCTTTTATGACAAATTATTCTGTAGATCCGGATCTAAAGATACACAATTTACATATTAAATATTCACAATTTATCTTTTAAAAATTCACAATTTGCGATGTCTTTGTATTGTATTCACAAATCTCAAAATTTAGAAACACAATTTATATGGTAGATGTTCACAATTTCAATAATAAAAAATATACAATTTAGGATCATGATCCACCTTGCAAAGTGGACCCTAGTCCATGGTATAACAATTGTACTCTTATATATGCATTTTCGATTAACCTATGTTATGTTTTGGTATTGGAGGGCCCTCCCATACATATAGCTAATACATTATAATTTTTGTACTTAAAACTCACGAATTTGATTCTTCTTCCAAAAGGCTGAACTCCAACCCTAAGGGCCCCCCACACCCCGACCCGACAGAGCATTTGGAAGGATGTAAATTATGGTAACTCAACTGAACATGAACCACAGGTTAGATCGTGCTCACTGCGCACAAGGAACCCCCCTCACTTTGAGAGACACGAATTTGATTCTTGCCAATAGATGTTCTCAGATGAGTCCGATCCGTACTAGATCTTTCTACTACAGTTTACCTCTTATGTGTGAATTGACAATTATTACATATATATAATTCCTCCAATGCACATTATTAAATAATGTTTTCAGGTTATCTTGTCACTTTTTTTTTTCAAAATACTATTCATTAAATCATTGAGCTAAGTGTGTAAAAAAAAAAAAAAAAAAAAAAAAAAAAAAAAAACACGCTAAAGGTGCCCAACATTATTGTACTTATGTTAGACATAAGAAGTTTCTTCAAAACTTTCAAAGAAAATAAAAAAGAAGTTTCTTCAAAAAGGAAATGGAATGGGGCCACCTCCATTAGTGAAGGTGAACAAGTATTCAGACAGTACGATGTGTTTGTATTATTAACTGCACAATAAAATGGGAGAATAGTCGCGTCCCAGTGGGCAATCAGTGGATGCAAATAATCTTTCTTTATTGGCCGCACCTCACGCGCCATCATGACGCATTTTCAACATAAATTATCTATTTGCCTAGTCACCCTCCTCCTCACCTACCTCTCAGTACATGCCACCACCTACCTAATTCACATTTTTTTTTTCAACAAAAATATAACTCAATTCAATAACAAAAATTTATTTCAAATTTAGATATCATTTTACAATTCCTTGCGAAATTAGTGAAGGACTATATTTATAAACTATGAGATTAATTTAAATTCAGTTCAGTCACGAGTAGGATGCATTCACAAATCAGAATTTGAGTCTTACAGGAGAGAGTTCAGGTCGTATCCAAATTTTAATGTTTGTTCTGATCTTACAATGCATGACTAATTCGTTTAACAAGTGTTGCAAAACATTAGTCTCACATAAGCCTTGTGTTCGGTGCTAAGATAAGAGTCTTATTCTTGTCAGGAATATAAAAGTTGTCGTAGGTAAGAGTTAAATGCATGTCACGGATATTGATAGTTTGTGTTTGGATGTACATTTTAGTAGAGTTAGATTGACTTTATTTACCAAATAATTTGTCGGAATCAAGAACTCGAATAGAAAGATATTTTATTTATGGGCCCCATATTGTACAAACCACATGCTAGGCCAACTCAAAAGTACTAGGGGAAACAAGACACACATGAGGAAAGCGAGGGATAAATTATTGGACGGTACGCCGGAAAACAGTTTCGACGGATTTCTAAAAATAGAAACGCTCGCTCGCTCTAAGAGCCGTAGACGATCTTGATGTTGTCGACGGTGACGACGCCGCCGCCGACCTTTGGTGCCAAAGTCACCAGAACTGCATCGTCGTCCTCGGCGCCGAGGTCCTCCAAGGGCTCGTTCAGACCCAAGCTCAGACTGGTCCTGATCTTCTTCGACCCAGTGTGCTTATGCGGCAGGTGCGCGAAACTTCCTGCGTACTCCGCCTTCTCCTTCCCGGCCTCCGGCTCGTCCTCGTCGTTCAGGTACACGTCGAACTTCGCGTACTGGTCAATCGCCACCTCGATTCCTTCAATCTCCAGGATTTCTTCCTCCTCTTCCTTCTCCTCCTTGCTCCTGGATTTCTTCGGCCTGGGCACCTTAACTTGCACCACCTTGTCGAGCGTCAACGGGAACACGTCGGTGACGAACGGCGCCTTGGACCTCGCCGCCAAGCCGGTCTTTTTCTTGGTCGGGAGCGGCTTGCTGTTGAGCCATGGAAGGTTGGCGAATTCGTACTTGTACCCGAGTTTCTGGTTATCCAGCGCGTCTCCGACGCGCACGCGGACGGCCTGTTTGTTCTCGTCGTAGAAGATGAAGGTGGCGTCGAGCCAATCGGAGTCGGTGAAGTCTCTTCTCCGGCCTTTCCCGCCGAGCTGTTGCCAGATGGTCCACATTCGGTCAACGTTGGAGTGGTGACAGTAAAACAAGATGTCCCTTCCGGCGGAGTAGAAGTTCCCCATGTCCTCTCCGTTCTGCGTTCTCGGCTTAACGTCGCCGACCCAGCGGTGAACCGGCGTGTGCGGGATATTCTCGATGGACCCGCCGCCTTTGTTCACCGGGAGGTCGCCGGACTTGTACGGTTTTCCGAGGAAGAGCTCGGCGGTTCCGGCGTTAGTCACCATGCTCTTGTACATCAAGGCGAGGTTGTTGGAGATTCTCTCCTGGTCAGTGGCGTCGTTATCGGTTCCGGCGTAGCCGAGGTCCATCACGAGAGGGAGATGGGCCTGGCTACGATTCTCATCGTACAACGGCGAGTTTTGGTTTCGGAAATACTGAGGAATCAGCATTCCCGCCGGGGTATCCCAGTTCCAGAACGGCAACCCGAAGGTGGGGTCCCCGATGAGTTTCCCCAAGATTCTCTCGTAGAAGTATAAATACCACCTGTGGAAGGGGAAGAAAAGCCATGAATTGTGGACTTGGATCTCCTTGTCGGGGTGGTCGGGCTGGACATACCCGCCGTTACAGTAAGCACAATGTACAAGCGCTTGTTGGTAGAAGTTCCGGGGATCGTCCGCCGGGAGCTCCTTCATCAACTTGATCGCCCTCTCGAACTTAGCAATGTATTCCTTATCCATCCGGTGGATCGCCGGGCGGACTTTCAGGGTGGCGGGGGAGAAACGGGGGACCTTGTAGGGGACAACATTAATCGCAGCCGGCGGGCAGCAGGTATCCACAAGAGCATTGGGCGGCAGATCCTTGGGAGGGACAACGCAGTTGGAGATCTCCGGCGCGTGGATGGGCTCCGCGAACGCCAGAGGGTTGTTCACGAGGCTGGCGGCGCCGGCGAGGCCTCCCAGGCCGAGAAGAACGTCTCTTCTGTCGAGCCTTGGCTGGGAGTCCCCGGCGGCGGCGTTGCATGAGACCTTGAAATGCCGGCTGCGCCTGGCGGAGCCGATGTGGATCTGAGAGGGTTTTGGCAGTGGGGAAGCCAAGGTGGCGGAGGAGGACAAAGATTTGGAGGTTTTAGGGGCGGCGGAAGTGCATGGAGAAGTAGTAAAAGAAGCCATTTTTCAATGCTTGGCGATTTAATATGTTTACGTTGCTCCGGTTATATAGGAGGAAATGGAGGTCGTTTTGGTCAATTTCTACAACACAACTTGATTCACGTGGTTTTTTAAGTGAATAATAATATAATATTCCACAACTTTATTGATTCAATAATATTCTAATTTTTTAATACATTGGTTTGAAATGTTGAATCCCCAACTCCAATAGTTTCAATTCGCATATCCTAACCCGACAAAGCATTGAGAAAACGTAAATCACGAGAACTCAATGACTCAGATATGACTAAATGCTGGTGTACAAAAAGCAATCATCATTACCTCTGATCAATTTTTGGGCTAGAGCTAGACTTATAGGGTGATCTTTGAACCATTAGCTAAGCCCAACAAGACATATTCGACAATTTATATCGTGGACCCTGGTCCAATACACATAATATATAGAATTTATGTTCATAATACACATACATATAAACATTTAACATAATACACATAATTTATATTCATAATGTACAAAATTCATATCCATAATACACAGAATTCATGTTCATAATGCACAGAATTCATGTTCATTATATCATATTTATGTGTATGTGTATTATGAACATAAATTATGTATATTTGGAAGATAAATTCTATACATTATGAAATTAAATTATGTGTATTGGACCAGAGTCCATAGTGCACTGTAGACTACCCGGGCCCACGATATAACGATCCGACATGAGTAGTTATGTTGTGCATACAGATGCAAAAACGACGTCGTTTTATTAAAAACGCGCGTCTCCCCTTAAAAAAAAATTCAGGTTCGATTCCCAGCAACAACATTATGTTGTTCATTCATTTTTGAATTTTAGTTCATTGATTCTGGAATTATAGTTCATCGATTCTGGAATTGTAGTTCATCGATTCTGAAATTTTAGTTCATAGATTCTGGAATTTTAGTTCATTCATTCTGAAATTTTTAGTTCATAGATTAGATTCTGTAATTTTAGTTCATAGATTCTGGAATTATAGGTCATCGATTCTGGGATTATAGTTCAACGATTCTGGAATTTTAGTTCATATGTTGTTGCTGGAAATAGAACCTAATTTTTTTTTTAAAGGAGAGACGCGCATTTTTAATAAAACGACGTCGTTTTTACATCCGTATGCACAACATAATTTGCCATCCGACATATTCTAAATTCAGAAGTGTGTATCAATACGGATACGGTGCCCATCAAGCAATTAATAACAAATACAACTACCTATAATTTAAGTGAATAATAATATAATATTCCACAACTTTATTGATACAATAATATTCTAATTTTTTTAATATATAAGTTTCTCACTCTTCTTAGTCGAAAATGTTAAATCCCCAACTCTAATAGCCGTGCAGACACCAACTTAACAGATCATTTAAGATAATGTAAATCACGGTAACTCAAAGAATCAATAAAAAAGACCAAATGGGAGTGCACAAAAAATAGTCATCATTATTATTTCTGATCAATTTTTTGGACTAGAATTAGACTTGATGACCTTTGAACCAATGAATTAAGCTCAACGAGACATATTCTAAATTCAAAAGTGTGTATCAATACGGATACGGTGCCCATCAAGCAATTAATACCAAATACAACTACCTATAATTTATTTGTTTTTTTTTTTTTAATATAAGTTTTTCTTTCATTATATTATATCTTGGTGACAGTGGCAAACTCCACATGATTTGTACCTAAACACCACTTATCATATATTGTCTTTTTGTAAATAATGTTACTTTTTCTTACAATAATTTTTTTTTTTTTTTTTTTTTTGTGACGTGAAAAAGTCGTAGTCATTACATAAACATGTATTATATGTATTAAATAAACTTCTATCATATGTATATAATAACTCACAAAATAAAAAAAGTTTCTTAATATTGTCTTTTGTGTTACATTTTGTTTTATGTTTGATTGTTATATAAATTATTTACCAACCCTTGGTGGGACTACCAATTGGTAACAAATAAAAATAAACGATAGTATTTAACTATTTATATAGTGATTGCAGTACGTAAGAGAATAATATAATGTTTTTCTTCTTAAAAGCTAGTTCCAAATTTAGTGCATACAATATTAAATTTTCTAATTTAATTTAGTTTTTTAGTTAGATAACATACATTGCATTAATGACAACTTTAAATTGGATATATGTAGCATAGTTTGGTCGGTTATAGACTTCGAGGTTCGGTAATTTCACCCTCAATTATCTAACACACAGGACACTTCATAATATTTTTATATAATATTTTTCTGATTAAATTAATACAAACTTATTGGTTGTATACTATTTTTCTGATTAAACTAATATAAAGTTATTGAATCTGCATTAATTAATCTCTCGAGATTCACTCTACCACTCCATTTCTGCAATTTGTATACATCATTCAAAGAATCAAAGCTATCCCACAAGTTACTATATAAGTGTGGGTTAAGTGTACGGATTATTCCATTTGCAAGTTGTTAATTTCCCTTTTTAAACGTATCTTGTAATTAATTTAAGAGATGTATGAATGAGATGACCCGAGTTTTTTCTGGTCTAATCAGATGTTTTAGATGCTTTGCAATCTTTGAGATCTTATATGGCACAAATTGGATTAGTCTCATTAAATTACTTATTATATCATGATTTAAAAAGAAATATATTTATGTACCCATGACACTGTTTAATTGATCAACTAACTCAAAATAACTTCATTAGAGAAATATGGATTTGGCATTTGTTGTGTGATACTAGTGCACATGTAAGCTAGTTGATACACATTTCGAAATTTTTCTCTTCTACCAGTCTTAAAGTAGGAGTAATGTGGTTTTCAAGATTGTGGTGTAATCTTATAAAGAAAAATAAAATAAAATTTACTCATTAATTCAATATTTAAAAAAGAATCAATATAATTAATTAGTACTCTCTCCGACCCATTTTATTTGGTGGGTTCGGTTAACCGAGGTTTGACTGAAGTTATTCACAATTTAATTTTTTATAATATTAAGTTTAGAATTAGTATGTAGAATTTATATATATATATATATATATATATATATATATATATATATATATATATATATATATATTTAGAAACTAAATTAAAATTTAAAAGTACTATTAACACAAAATCAAATTCAAAAATTATAAGAAAATGCTAATAGAAATAAGCAAAGAAGAAAGAGTTGATTTGACCAATGAATTGTAAGTTGAACAGATAAAATAAGACAAATGGAGTATCATATAGTGAGGTAAAAAGGTAAATATTTGTGTCAAAATTAGTATGTAAGGTACATAGTATCACACTTTGTACGTCCTGCCTTTCAAATATATTTGAAATTGCTACTGACTATTATATTGTAGTATCGATCTCATGATCTCCCACATAGGAGAGGTTGTTACATACCATCTGACCACAAGGTACTTGGCGCCATTCAAATATATATGTGATGTATAATTATGAGTTTATTTGGAAATTAAAAAAATATTTTCTGAAAAATAATTTTTAAAAAATAATTTAATTTTCTAATGTTTGGTTAAATGTCATAACTGTCTTTTTCTATTTGGTTGACCATTTTCTTGAAAATTAACATTTTTATTGTTGTTGTTACCTTAGAAAATGTTTTTTTTTTCAGAAAATGATTTTTAGAAAAATGACTTATTTTTTTGAAAAGTAATTTAATTTTTTAATGTTTGGTTGAATGTTAGAAAACTAGCTTTTTTTTTTTGTTGTTGTTTGGATGAAATTTAAGAAATTGTGTTTTTTTTTGTTTGATTTTTTTTTTGAAAATTAATATTTTATTTGTTGTTGTTGTTTTTTTTTTTCGAAATATTATTGTGATTATTATTATTATTATTTAACAAATAATATAAAATGTTCATTTTCATGAAAATAACCAAACATAACAAATGCAATTTCATAATTATTAGCCAAATAGAAAAAAGATGATTTTCTAACTTTTAGTCAAATTAAAAAATTAAATTATTATTATTATTTTTGAAAAATGAATCATTTACCAGAAAACATTTTCCAAATTTCCAAACAAACCTAAGTATATTTGTCGGGGATGGTACAAGGAACTTGGCAGTTGGGTTGGAAGTGGCTGATTGGTTCACGCTCTCGAGAGTTGCTCAAATCACGGGCCTTCGGGTTCGGTTTTGCGATTTTCATAGGCTTTAATGAGGTATAAAAAGAGTTCGGATTCACAAGATTTGTAACATCTTTCTTAAAATAAGATTAGAGAACTTGTTACTTAATTTGATCCGCTTTCCTTTTCTATTTTAGGAATTGAAGTAATTTTATAGCTTAAAGCAAAATTTGGTTGGTCAATTGTTAGGAATTTAGTTTCTTAGTGTGTATTAAGCTAGTCATGTTGTATAAATGTCCCTCGAAAGGTGTAAGAGGGGGTCAAAATTTTGAAAGCTTAAGGCAATTTATGTTGAGATTATTGCTTTAAGTTCCTTCACCTCTTTATACTCAATTTTACGCACGTTTACTTTATTTTATTGTACTTTAAATTTATTGAAATACAAAGAGTCAATACTATTTTCACTGAAATTTAAACCCATAACCTCTCATTTGAGAGAGCCACTTCGAGCAATTAAATTACAAGGTCATTGCCATTTGTCACCATTACTTTTTGTTGACATGGTAAGAATTGTTAGAGTCGAAATTTCTTTAATTTGGTTTAATATTTTTCTTAAATGTCATTTTTATGGGGCATGGAGCATTAAAGTTTTACCCATTCATCACGCGTCCCTATGACACAATTATTTCATGTCGTAGTGTGGGACCCAGCGAAAATAATTTTGGCACATTTTTATTTGTTGCATGGACAGCTGGTTAGAGGGATGAAGTTTAAAAACAATGACTCAAGATTGAGTCTCATCAGCTACAATATGAGAGCAACGTAACTTTTTAAAGTGAGAGGAACTTCTTGTGCGTAGTAAGTAAATATCTTAGCTATATTCAAACTGAGTTACTATGATTTATATCCTCCTAAATACTCTGTCGGACTGGGACCTAGTAGCCCTTGAAATTTAAGATTCAAACCTTTTTCCAAACAATGTTGGCTTACATTAAAAATTGATAGCACATAGTGCACACTTGGCCTTTGAGAGATGATTGCGAGCAAAAAAAGATAATCAATATGCTACCTACCCGTGTACCTGCTATGTAAACATGCTAATAAATATATTATCACCAAAAAAGAAAAAAGAAGATAAGATAATAAATATACTACATACCTAGCATACAAACAAGAATAATAAATATATTATGTCAAAGTGGCAAATACTTTATGCGCATTAGCATTTGACTATGTTTGCTGAGGCACTGAGTTACTGTGATTTACATCTTTCCAAATGCTTTGTCGGGCCGGAGTATAGGGACCCTTAGGGTAGAGGATTCAACCATTTGGGGAAGAAGATAATAAATATGACGGGGGAAGAAGATAATAAATATATTTTTGATTGAGCCCGCCACATATAGTTTTTGGAGGGTGATTTACTTCTCTTGTGTGATTTATGAGCTATTAAAGTAAGATTTTCTCAATTTCAACTATTGGGTAGTGGTTGCGGGTTTCTTTTGTAATCGAAAAAATTAAAGATAATAAATATATTATCTCCTCCACAGCTTCACTTGTCTCCACTCGCCAATGTAAAAACGTCGACAAATCCTTAAGTCTGTGATTTAAACTTATAAGTTCATAAGATAATAAGGGTGTGTTTGGTTCACATATGGGAATCGGAATCGGAATCGGAATGGAATCAAATACTTGGTAATAGTAATGAGATTTGGTGAAAGTAATTTGCATGTTTGGTAGTATGGTGGAATTGGAATGATTATTAATATTGTTGTTTGGTTATGTATAATCGTATAATGGGAATAAATGTTTTAAAAATTCAAAAACAAAAAATCAAGACAAATTTTTTTTTTTTTTATTACAAAGGAAGGGGATACCCACATATACTAGATATGTATCCACAAAAGCTTGAACCTAAGACATTGCACATAAAGGGTCAACCAGATACCAATAGACTACAAACCACATAGTAAAATTAAGACAATTTATTTTAATATAAAGACATCCAAAGCACCAATAAAAAAAAAAAAAAATCTAAAAACACTAATCCAAACTTAAAAATCAAATTACCAATTAGGAGGGGAATAATGCAATAAAACCTTTATTTTATTAGAGAATGAGTTTTCAAATTTAGGGAGTAATCAAATCTCATAGTAGTGTTCTAAAAACCTGTCAACCAAACAATAACAATGACTTTCATTCTCATTCCTGATAGCTAAATCTATGAACCAAAAACACCTCAAATATGTTGACTTTCTGAGTATAAATATATAAGCGCTGTAAAAAAATAAACAAAACTAAATGCATATTCTAATAGATATGAGTATCGATCTTAATATTGTTTATTAAGGTGACACGTTTACATCATTATTGAATTATGCATTAGGACTTACAGATCATAATAGATTCAAAATTTCAAAAGCATGTTCACATGTCTCTTAATATATATATATATATATATATATATATATATATATATATATATATATGTGTGTGTGTATGCTACAGATCTTAATATTTGCTACTTTTGACTGAAAATTGTCTTTTGGTACATTATTGAAATCAATAAGGGAGACAGCAGGAGACAAAGATCAAAATATAATATAAAATACATTGTCCTAATCGATAAATGTCACATACGTGTTTCATTTCTATTGGCTTACACAACATTTATGAAGCCAAGTAGGAGAGAGCAGAGAGAGAGACAAAAGAAGGGAAAAAAAAGGTTGATCAAACGCCAAAAAAACAAACGCAATAACGTGTCAGTCGACGTGTGTACTGAACACGGCCGACTAGGTATGGGCTGTGCGCGAAACATGCACAATTGTGGTTTTTTTTTTTGTTTTTTTTAACGACATCCACAAAAAACTATTATTGCAATGCATACTCATTTTTCTCCTTTCTCCACATCATGTTGGATTGGACTCCACAAAAATCCAAGAAAAAACTATATATGGACTATGGGAATGTCCAATGTATTAGAAGAGAGTCGTTTACACACTGACTTTTGCACGACAAGTAAATGTAAAACCAATTCTAACAACTCCCATTTGGTTTTTTATTTTTGTTTTTTTTTTGTTTTAAAATATTTTTCAAATCCAAATTATCATTCTATACTGAAAAATAAATAAATAATTCAAACTCATTACTTATTCGAATAAAAGATTACAATAGTAACTTTGAAGTTATAAAACGGAAAATAATTTAAATATTGTTTTTTTTTTGTATAAATAAAAATTAAACGATAAAAAAATTATATAAATTTTCAGAAAAATAATGCTCACAACATCAGTAAACCATCAATTATCACTACTGGAAATTATGGAATTTCCGACAATCTGAAAATGATGTTAAATCAAGTTGAAAGCCTTGTTCCGATCACTTTTGGTATCTGGAAAAACCTCTGTTGCTATTTCCGACCACTTTTTCCTTTCAACTTGATTTAAAATTACTTTTAAGTGGTCGGAAATTTCGAGCACAATTGCAGATGTCTCGAAAATTTACAAATCAACTAAGGAATTTTTAGAACTCAAATTAAAGTCATTTAAGCTAGATACATATTGTTGCCCAATGAATACATGCAATAATGGATGAAATTAATTATTACAATTTATTAATGTTTGATTGTTTGTGGGTTATTAGATATTTTACTTATATTGTAAAACTTTCTAAAAAAAATTCGATTTTAACTAATAACCAACAAATATGATTAACTCCAGATTTTATATGTATTTTTTTTTGGTAGAGCCAGATTTTATATGTATGAATGTGAATTGAATAAATGTCACCATTAAGGATAATCATTTCATATTAAATATTCAAACTTCAAAAATTTATATGTAAGTGTTACCAAATATAAAGTTTCAATTTGATATCAAACATAAATTAAACCTTTTTTTTTTTTTACTAGCTTGCTCTACTCCATAAGAAAAGGAAAAATAAAATAAAATAAACTATTTTTCATTTTCTTTAGATGACGATGAAACTCACAACCACTTTTTAGGAGTGTGCATGAGATAAATTTCGATTATGTGCTATAACTTGAATCAAACTTATAAAGTTATAATATTTGTATAGGAGAATCATATTCCACCTACTCGATCACAATTTTCAGACATTTTCTTTGAATCTTGTATTATAGAAACCCGGTCAATACTTTGAGATGGAGGCCAGCTAGCATATATATATTTACATGCAATAGGGATTGTTAATATAAACATATTACTTTATTAAGAAATCCGGTAATAAGTATATAACGTGATATTTTTCCACCTGTACACTCACGTCACATCTTTGCTACATCAACTAGATTGATGGTTAAGATTTGTCCACAATTCTCACCTGAACTATTATGTAAGCTGAAACCTAACAAATATGCATGGCACTAACATATATGGATATACCTCCCAATTTCCCCTCTTGTGACATCTTTTAATTGAATTATTTAATTGTTAATTAAAAATGTGTGGAGTTAGCCAATTCATGGCACTCAATAAATATAAACCATATTGATGTAGTAAATACGGAGATTCCTACAAAGTTTAAGATAGTAGGGTCGGATCGTACGAGAATCATGTCTTAGTGTTCTTGTTGGTTTAAGTCCTTAAGCTCGGGTTACATGACAATGAGTTAGGAGTTATTGGACTTAAAGTAAATGTGTGAAAATTGCCAAAAGTCTCATTCTCTCGCATTTAATGCAGTATTTATAGGATGCATAAGGGGACACTCGTTGGTCCCCCGGCACGCGCAGCACGTAGATCACATGCATTGTGCAAGGTCAGTGCCCTGGTTGGTCCTTCCACATGTCCACAGATGCATGATTCCATTGGGTTCGCTGCCACTAAATTCGGCTAAGAGAACTAGGCTTAAGGTTCTAATTAAGTACCGTAGGTCGAGTGCTCGATCACGATCTAATGTGGTCGGGGCAGAACAATTGATACTGATCTTCGCTTAACCAGTGAAATTGCACTTGGTCTGAGATTTAGGTCAGGCAAGCGCGTAATGCTCGGGCCAGGGCTTACCCAGTGGGTGGATTTGATACTGATCAGGTATACGCTACAAGTGCAGCCGAGGATAATCCCTATCACACATCATGGAGGAAAATATTAGGGAAAATTTAGAATGGGAGATATTAGGGAAAATTTAGAATGGGCAAATGTCATTGTCCTTTATTTATTTATTTATTTATTTATTTATTTATATAGATAGATTGGTTGCAAATTTTACGTACAACATGCAAGCTTGAAAAGAAAACAAGCACACACCGAAAGCAATGGGGATTTAGACAGATTTCTGCAAATAGATCTAAGAATGGTAGATGATCTTAATGGTTTTGATGGTGGTGGTGCCGCTGAAGGGCATTGGTACCAGAGTCACCACGACGGCGTCGTCGTCCTCACAGTCAAAGTCTTCCAACACCTCATTCAGCCCCATGCACAGACTGGTCTTGATCTTCCCGGTGCCGTGGTGATTCTGCGGCAAGTTGACGAAACTTCCGGCGTACTCCGCCGCCAGTTTCTCCAACGCCGGCTCCTCGTCCTCGTCGTTCACGAACACGTCGAACTTGGCAAACTGGTCGGCGGCAACCTCAATGCCTTCGATCCGCAAGATTTCTTCTTCCGCGTCTTTCTCCTCCTTGCACCGGGACTTCCTCGGCCGGGGCACCTTCACTCTCACCACCTTGTCCAGCGTCACCGGGAACACGCTCTCCACGGGCGGCGCGTCGGACAAGGCGGCGAATCCTTTCTTCTTCTTAGCCGGAATCGGCTTGCAATCCAGCCATGGCAGATTTTCAAACGCGTATTTATACCCCATTCTCTGATTATCCAATGAGTCCCCCACCCGGACCCGCACGGCCTGGGCGTTCTCGTCGTAGAAGATGAAGGAGGCGTCCAGCCAGTCCGGGTCAGTAAAGTCCCTTCTCCGCCCAGCGCCGCCGAGCTGCTGCCAAATCGTCCACATGCGGTCCACGTTTGCGTGGTGGCAGTAGAACAACGGATCGCGAGCGGCGGAGTAGAAGTTCCCCATGTCCTCTCCGTTGGGTGTTCTCGCTAAATCCCCCGTCCACCGGTGAACTGTTCCGTGGGGAATATTCTCAACAGAACCGGCCCCGAGTAGGAAGAGCCCCGGGTCGTCGCCGGCGCGGTAAGGTTGTCCATGGAAGAGTATGGCGGCTCCGCCGTTGCTGACCATGGTCTTGTACATCAAGAAAAGGTTGAATTGAATCCTGAGTGGGTCGGGTAAAGGAAAGTCCAGGCCGAAGAAAGCAAGGTCCATGAGGCGAGTGAGTAAAGACTGGTTGCGGTTCTGATCGTAGAGCGGCGAGAATATGTTGTTGACATAGGAGGGCATATACATTCCGGCCGGCGAATCCCAGTTCCAGAACGGCAAGGCGAAGGTGGGATCTCCCAGCAATTTTCCCATGATTCTCTCGAAGAAGTACATGTACCTGTAACAATTTAGCATATAATATATATAATATTATTTAAGTATTCATGGTGCAAGTTTATGACTAATCCATTAATGGGGTGTTTGGTAAGTTCTATTCCTGCCAACTCCATGAAATTGCAATTTCACGTTTGGTCGGAGAGAATTGCAATTCTAGGGAATTACAATTCTTTCCAACCATTGTGGAATTGTAATTTCATATTAAATTACAATTTTATAATTCTTATGATTACTATATAATGATATTTTAGTCTTTATTCACTAATTTCTTTTCAATTCAATCATTCTATTCCTTTCTATCCAGCAATGTAATTTAAGGGTGTGTTTGGTTGGTGGGTTTCCCATACCCAAATACAATAAGGGTTTCATTCCCTTATTCATTCTCAAACACTATTATTAGTAACCATTCCCATTCCACCCTACTACCAAACATGTTAAATATTTGCACCAAAACCCATTACCATTAACAAGTATTTGATACTCATTAGATTCCGATTCCTATGCACGAACCAAACACACCCTAAATGTTTTTGTGCAGGTTTATTATTCTAGGGACTTAACTCACTGGTCCTCTTGTAGATAGTATTAGAGACAAAAGGTCAAGTTTGAAACTCTGAAGGGACAATGTAAGGCCGGATTATATTCAAATTAGACAAATTTTTTGTGCTCACCTATAATTTGACCATGTCTATTAAGCATAGTAATTTATATCATCTCGAATGTTCTGTCGGGCTGGGATTTGAGGCAGTGAAGGCCCTTGGGATTGCATATATAACTTTGGGCAGATTTATTATTCCAAACACAACACCTATATACCAATCATTCTAAAGTTTTGGCTGTTATGATGGAGTTTACGTTAGTATATTTATATCTAACATTACCATCTGTGGAAAGGGAAGAACAGCCATGAATTGTGAACTTGGATCTCCTTATTGGGGGAGTCTGGTTGGACATAGCCGCCGTTGCAGTAAGCGCAGTGGACTTTCGCTTGTTGGTAGAAGTTGCGGGGGTCGTTCTCCGGCAGCTCCTTCATCAGCTGGATCGCTCTCTCAAACTTCGCAATGTACGCCGCGTCCAATTTGTGAGCCGCCGGGCGGATCTTTAAGGCAAACGGATTCACCGGCGGAAGTTGGTAGGGGATAACGAAGGCCGGCACGGGAGGGCAGCAGTTTTGGATATCCGCGCCGGCGGGCAAACCGGCGGCGGGGACGACGCAGTTGGAGAATTCCGGGGCTTGAATGGGAGCGGCGGATGCCGGTGGGTTGGCAACCAGGCTTGCAGCGCCGTAGAGGCCGCCCAAGCCAAGAAGGACGTCTCTTCTGTCAAACTTTGGTTGGGACGCGCCGCCGTCTGCGGCGGCGTTGCATGAAACTTCGAAACGATGGTTACGTTTCGAGGAGGTTATATGGATGTGTGAGGATTTTGGCAAGGCGGCGGCGGAGGAGATTGACGCGGCGGTTCTCGGGGCGGTGGAATTGCATGCAGACGTTAAAGAAGCCATTACGGTTTACGTCGACGGATGTTTTGTGTAGTGATAGTAGTCGTTTACGTTGCTCCACTTATATAGTGGAAGTGAAGGCCATTTTAGTAAATTTCTACCTTACATGGTTAATTTTGATCTAAAATAAACTTCAGATTATGTAGAGTTGATAGATATATTCTATATCTTAGTTAACCATTTATGTGTTTATAAATTAATTGAAGACACATAACATGGTAACTATAAGCACATGACATAGTAACTACAGACACATTGTTTAAGATTATGTAGTGTTTACCGGTTAACAGTTATGTGAACAGTTATGTGTGCAGTTAATATATTATGTGAATGTAGTTAACATGTTATGTGCCTTGCATTTATTCACAATTACATAAACGCTTAACTACATATCAATAATATGTCATCTGCAGACACATAATTCCTTATCCATGATATAGTAGTTGATGCATTTGCTAGCAAAACAAACCTTCTCAATTTATTTTGAGTTAGTTGACAAATTGAGCTATATCTCGAGTCTGGACAATTCTTATTTGATAAATTTCTAAAACAGAACTATTCGTCTATCCTCATGTGTAGTTGATTAAGGGGTGTTTGGTAAATATCTATTAGCTGATTGTGTTAGTTGGTTTGACTAGTTGATAACATTATCTTAGAAAAGTGTTTGGTAAATTGGTTGTTAGCTGATAATTGATTACATGCAAAATGACTTTCTCAAAAAATTGATCAAAATCAAAATATATACTTTGAAGAGTTTTTTAAATTTTAGCATTTTAGAGCAATAAGTTTTTACAAAAAAAAAAACTAATTAATCAAATACTCATTGATTGTTTAACTAAGTCAAACAGCTAATAGTGAGTAAATAAACCAAAATTAATTGATAAGCTAACTATGTTGCAAAACTTTGTTTAATTCACAAAATAATAACTATTTCCCAAATAGTGTCAATTTAATTAGGAAGCAAATTTTTAAAAAGTAATAATAATACATCTTCGTCTCCAAAATAATCGGTATGTTGTATTGAATTATATTTTATATTCCTTTATTATATGAACTTGTTATTAACTTGTTTAGTGATATTGACTAGTTGGTAATCACTATTTTTTGAGGAAATCAATGTGGTTGCATTTATAGATAATTTGAAAATGAATCTGGTGGGATAACATCCCAGTACATAGGTGAATCGTAATTAAAAGCATCCGGAAATAATATATGCGCTAAATAATTCTGCGATCTAGGAATAAAATTAACTGAACAATAATTAAGCATCTCCATATATGCTCTGCAAGCATCAAGAGCATAACCAAGATAAGATTGAGACCGAGTCTCAGTAGATGACAAATATGCCTAGAGTGTGTGACAGTCCGTGAACATTTCGATCGAAGTTTCCCCGCGTGTTCTGAGCCATGACAACACTTCTTTGCATGCCATAGTTTCGGCCATAAGTGGCGAGAAGCAGTTGTGCAAGGGCGCATTGTAAGCCGATATATATCCTCCGTGGCCGTCGAACAAAATTGCACCTACTGTGGCTGCGCTTGATTGTTGTCTGTATCCAGCGTCGACGAAGCAATGCTTAGGCCGCGTGGTTACTGTTCCGGCAGCATGGACGGGCAGTGTTTGCACGGGAGGCAGCGGTTGTGGATCGGCGACATATGAATCAGCCGGAGCTGGCGTGGTGGAGTGATGCACTTGTTGCCATGCCTGCATAGTTGTTATGGCCATCGCGAGGACCTTCTTCTGCATGGGTAAACATGAATTCCAGACTGCTTCGTCCCGGGGTCTCCAAATATTGTATAGAATTGCAGCTGCAAACAATACCCCATTAGTGTTTAGAACATTTAGGATCGTTCTAAACCATTCTTGAAAAATATTCGTCATAAAATGGGGAAGTGGAAGGTTGGATTGATCCCATATGGTTCTTGCATAATCACAGAAAACCAATGAGTGCATAATATTTTCATCTATAAGTCCACACATGGCACATATCGGGCTAAAATCTACCCTTTTTATAATTAAGTTGGTGGTGGTGTGGAGAATATCACTTATTGCTCTCCATATGAAGGTTTTCCACTTTGGGGGATTTTTAGCTTCCATAGGGTGTTCCACTTATCAAACCCATAGTTGTTCTCATAAGTGCCTACAATACGTCTGTATCCATTCTTGACAGCATAACATCCATTTGGGTCCTCATACCAATACCATATATATCCTCGTACTCTAGTGAAATCGGGATCTTCAATATTTTAGGTATGTCATTTGGTTCGAAAGTATCCGATAAAATATGAGGATCCCATGTACCAGTTGTTTGATCAATTAAGCCCCATTGGTAATCACTATAAATAAAAAGAAATTTCATATATTAAAATTCATGCAGACATTTTGGTGCGGATTATTAGAGATTGATAGACTTAGGTACTACAATGTTTTTATTTAATTTTAAATAGCTTAAGTCTTTTGACTATCCTGGATCTCAAGAACATGCTTATATATTCATAAGAATTGAATCGAACTAATCTAACTTTGAGTCTTAATTAAAAGTTATATACTTTTGTGCATAAGAAATTCAACTCAAACTAAAACCCTCCATTCGTGACAGGAATCGAACGTTCACTATACTACTAGAAGCAAGTCTTATATACTACAAGGCTTTGATTGCGTGTTAAGATGGTTGCTTGGTCATGTAACGAAGGTCTGTCACTTATGTAGTTGGAATGAAAGAAGCTTGTTGTTTTCACCTATATATATATATATATATATATATATATATATATATATATATATATATATGTATATATATATATATATATATATATATATATATATATATATATATATATATATATATATATGGGTTGCTTTTTCCCCTAAAAATTGCTCTTGAAATTGATTTTTTCACTTTATTTCAAATTTCATTTAATTGACATTGGACCTTGAGCTATTAAAATTACATTTTTTTTTTAAAAAAATATAAATATTTTGTAGTGAAATAAGTTTTGTGTAAAATCGTTTTCTTGTGAGATGTGTAATATACAGAAAAAGCTTACACAAGACTTGTTATTTTTACTGATTGCATTATAATCAAGAACCAATTCTAAGAAAATCACCTCAATTTAAACTTATGACATCCTGATACGAGAATCATGTTTCACCATCGGACACCTTTTCTGGGCTAAGAATTGTCTTTTTATACATTATGTGACTTGTAAATTTGAAGCGCCGAGGGTACTAGCAGGTAGTTGAACCGAAATAAATTAAAGTAGGAGACAAAAGATGGGGTACAAACATTTGCCGATGATATAATATCCGGTAAATAATATAAGGTTTCGTAACTTACATGTTTCATTTCTATTGGTTCTACGCCCCACCTTAATCACGGTAGTAATAGGACTATGGGACCTTTTTACACTGACTTTGCTTGTCACATTCACGATAAAAAGAAAATTAAAAATTTTATGTTCAATTCCTATTGATGAATATATTGGAGATGGATGTAAAGCAAATTGACCCAGTGGAGCGTAACAAGATGGGTTCGGTTAGCACTAATCTAAACATTTTAATTGAGTAAGAAACATTGTAATTGTGTAACTACACAATATTTTATAGTACATTATTGGTATACCTTTTGAAAAAAACTTACCTACTTTAATACATTTTTATCTCTTAATTTTTACGAAATACAAAATACGAGGAACCCTAAAAATGGTTCTTATATTTAGAGTCATTTTATTCAAATTTTTATGATTAAGAGCTAATTTACTTAAATTGAATGTCAAGATTAAGCATTTATTGTATGGTAAAAGTCACTTAATAAAATTTCACTTTAAAAATATTGAAAACATGCATAAATTTCACTTTAAAAAAATTAAATTACTAACAAAAAAATGTAGATAAATTACTATTTTATTTGATATATATGATATAATAAGATATTTACAGATCAGAGAGTGGGACCCTTCTCACCAAATTCAGAGTCCAGATCAGTCCAACGCACGATGACAAATCACATAAAAAAACATTGGATTCTAGTAAAAGGCACGTGGATCATACACATTAATATTAGTAAATAAAAAATTTAATGTTTTTTTTTTCAAAACTAGTGTTATAAACTTTTAAGTTTTTTTTTTTTTTTTTTTTTTTTTTTTTTTTTTTGGTTATTATAATTTTTTTTATTTTATTCTTGGTAAAAATTAATTCAACTCGACATTATATAATACTCCGTATATATTCTAAATTTTTTTACTGATATACTGTTGTACTAAACATAGGGATTTTGTGGTGATCAAGAGGATGTTAACAAAAATCAATTTCATAATTTTTTAGGTACAAAAATTATGCTACATTCTCTTAACAACTCCTTTCGATGCCATCTTTGTTCCCTTAAAAGTGTAGTTATTCAATATTTTATATCGAGTTAACAATCAAAATATTCATTGACTATTCAATTGGTCATCAACTACCAAATCATTTGAAATGATCCTTCGACTATCTAAATTAAAATTTTTGTCAATCTAGTCATCATCAGTTACTTACATTGGGGATTGAATTGAGTTATATTTTATGTAGCAATGGACTATATTTTGCATGAATTAATAACCGATATGGTCAATTTAAATATTGTGACGTAATCAATAGCACATTTTACGTATTAAATATATATCTCGTTTAATCTTACTCGACTTATCTAATCTCACTTTATCGCAGTAAAAATAATATTTTATTATTTACTGTGAGCAACAACATGCATGTTAGCTAAAGATTGATTCTTTAGGTCGGGTCATATATATATATATATATATATATATATATATATATATATATATATATATATATATATATATGGTGCAATTTTCTTAAGTCGTTACATACACGTGAATTTAAGTATCTGAAATCATGTTTAAATTAAGAATATTATCCTGATGAATTATTGATTAAGATATTAGATAGGGCCATTAAACTCCATGATTAATATATGACCGGACCCATATCCTCACCATTATTTATAATCATCTTTTTTATTATTAGTATGCTGGAAAAGAAAAACAAGTATCCGACAAAGTATAATATCGCATGTGCC